ACCAACCGAACCAAGCTCACCAACCGAACCATCTTCGCCAACTGAACCAAGTTCTCCAACTGAGCCTTCTTCACCAACTGAACCAAGTTCTCCAACTGAGCCTTCTTCGCCAACTGAACCAAGTTCTCCAACGGAGCCAAGCTCTCCAACCGAACCAAGTTCGCCAACTGAGCCATCTTCACCAACCGAACCAAGCTCTCCAACCGAGCCTTCTTCGCCAACCGAACCTAGCTCTCCAACTGAACCAAGCTCACCAACCGAACCAAGCTCACCAACCGAGCCTTCTTCACCAACCGAACCAAGCTCTCCAACCGAGCCAAGTTCTCCAAGTGAGCCATCTTCACCAACCGAACCTAGCTCTCCAACTGAGCCAAGCTCGCCAACTGAACCAAGTTCTCCAACTGAGCCATCTTCGCCAACTGAACCAAGTTCTCCAACTGAGCCATCTTCGCCAACTGAACCAAGTTCTCCAACCGAGCCTTCGTCTCCAACTGAGCCATCTTCGCCGACCGAACCTAGCTCTCCAACGGAGCCAAGCTCTCCAACTGAGCCTTCTTCGCCCACCGAACCTAGCTCTCCAACTGAACCAAGCTCGCCAACCGAACCTAGCTCACCAACTGAGCCAAGCTCACCAACGGAACCAAGCTCCCCAACTGAGCCATCTTCGCCAGCTGAACCAAGTTCTCCAACCGAACCTAGCTCGCCAACCGAACCAAGTTCTCCAACGGAGCCAAGCTCTCCAACCGAACCAAATTCGCCAACGGAGCCATCTTCACCAACCGAACCAAGCTCTCCAACCGAGCCTTCATCGCCAACCGAACCTAGCTCTCCAACTGAGCCAAGCTCGCCAACCGAACCAAGCTCTCCAACTGAACCAAGCTCACCAACCGAGCCTTCTTCACCAACTGAACCAAGCTCACCAACCGAGCCTTCTTCACCAACTGAACCTAGCTCTCCAACCGAGCCAAGTTCTCCAAGTGAGCCATCTTCACCAACCGAACCAAGTTCTCCAACCGAGCCTTCTTCGCCAACCGAACCAAGCTTCCAAGTGAGCCAAGCTCACCAACCGAGCCTTCTTCACCAACCGAACCAAGCTCTCCAACCGAGCCAAGTTCTCCAACCGAGCCTTCCTCGCCAACTGAACCAAGCTCACCAACCGAGCCTTCTTCACCAACCGAACCAAGCTCTCCAAGTGAGCCAAGCTCACCAACCGAGCCTTCTTCACCAACCGAACCAAGCTCACCAACCGAGCCTTCTTCACCAACTGAACCAAGCTCTCCAACCGAGCCAAGTTCTCCAAGTGAACCATCTTCGCCAACCGAACCAAGCTCTCCAACCGAACCAAGCTCTCCAACCGAGCCATCTTCACCAACTGAACCAAGCTCACCAACCGAGCCTTCTTCACCAACTGAACCTAGCTCTCCAACCGAGCCAAGTTCTCCAAGTGAGCCATCTTCGCCAACCGAACCAAGCTCTCCAACCGAGCCATCTTCACCAACTGAACCAAGCTCACCAACCGAGCCTTCCTCGCCAACCGAGCCAAGTTCTCCAACCGAGCCATCTTCACCAACTGAACCAAGCTCACCAACCGAGCCAAGTTCTCCAACCGAGCCTTCCTCGCCAACTGAACCAAGCTCACCAACCGAACCAAGCTCACCAACCGAGCCTTCTTCACCAACCGAACCAAGCTCACCAACCGAGCCTTCTTCACCAACTGAACCAAGCTCACCAACCGAGCCAAGTTCTCCAAGTGAGCCATCTTCACCAACCGAACCAAGTTCTCCAAGTGAGCCATCTTCACCAACCGAACCAAGCTCTCCAACTGAACCAAGCTCTCCAACTGAACCAAGCTCACCAACCGAGCCTTCTTCACCAACTGAACCTAGCTCTCCAACCGAGCCAAGTTCTCCAAGTGAACCATCTTCGCCAACCGAACCAAGCTCTCCAACCGAACCAAGCTCTCCAACCGAGCCATCTTCACCAACTGAACCAAGCTCTCCAACCGAACCAAGCTCTCCAACCGAGCCATCTTCACCAACTGAACCTAGCTCTCCAACCGAGCCAAGTTCTCCAAGTGAGCCATCTTCGCCAACCGAACCAAGCTCTCCAAGTGAGCCATCTTCACCAACTGAGCCAAGTTCTCCAACCGAGCCTTCCTCGCCAACCGAGCCAAGTTCTCCAACTGAGCCAAGCTCACCAACTGAACCTAGCTCTCCAACCGAGCCAAGTTCTCCAAGTGAGCCATCTTCACCAACCGAACCAAGCTCACCAACCGAGCCTTCTTCACCAACTGAACCAAGCTCACCAACCGAGCCATCTTCGCCAACCGAACCAAGCTCTCCAAGTGAGCCATCTTCACCAACCGAGCCTTCTTCACCAACTGAACCTAGCTCTCCAAGTGAGCCATCTTCGCCAACCGAGCCAAGCTCTCCATCTGAGCCAATTGTTCCGGGTTCTCCCACGGATATCCCTCCATCTGAGCCAAGTTCTCCAACCGAGCCTTCCTCGCCAACAGAACCAAGCTCTCCAACTGAGCCATCTTCACCAACCGAACCAAGCTCTCCAAGCATTGGTGCTCCAACTTCCGAAAACGAAGGACCAACCACTCCAACTAGTCCAACCGGCCCAAGCTCTCCCACCTCTCCATCTGGAAGTAAGGGTGATCCACATTTCAAGACCTGGAGAAACGAGCACTTTGAATACCATGGACAGTGTGATTTGGTTCTTGCCAAGGATGATACCTTTGCTGATGGACTCGGCTTCGATGTTCAAATTCGTACCAAGCTTGTTCGTTACTGGTCTTACATTCAACGAGCTGCCATTCGCATCGGCGATGATATTTTGGAGGTTGAAGGTAGTGCTGACATTTCTGAAATGAAGCCTAAGTACTGGTTCAACTTTGATTACCAAGAAGATACCAAGACCATTGGTGGCTTCCCATTGAGAATCACCGAGGGATATGGCGCCAACCGCAAGCACGGATTTGAAATTGACTTGACCTCCAAGTACCCTGGTGTCAAGATTATGATTGGAACCATGAAGGAATTCGTTAAGATTGAATTCATTGGTGCCTCTGTCGAAGCCTTTGGCAGCGCCGTTGGTATGTTGGGAGACTTCGAAACTGGAAAGACCTTTGCCCGTGATGGAGCTACTGTGTTGGATGATTTCAACGACTTTGGAAACGAATGGCAAATCCAACCATCGGACAACATGTTGTTCCATGACATTTCGAATCCTCAGTTCCCCAAGCGTTGCGTTCTTCCTGAAGATCCTCAAGGACAACGTCGCCGCCTTTTGACCGAGGCCTCCGTCAGTATTGAAGATGCCGAAAAAGCATGCGCCAGTCTGACCGATGCCATCGACCGCAAGGATTGTGTTTATGATATCATTGCCACTCAAGACATGGACATGGCCGGTGCCTATTAGAAAAATTACCACTGGTGTCCAACCGATCTGATCTGATCTTATCTCACACGGGTTATCAAAATAAATTCAAATATAATTGAATCATTCATATGTTATACTGCATTGTATTGATGTTATTGTTGTTATATTGTGCTTGTGAACTCTTTTGATGGATTGTATAAAAATAATGATTCACCACGGATATTATAATACCTATTCTCTTACTGGTACCCAGTGCACACTGGTACCCAGTGCGAGTTCCATCGATCCTGTAGAATAGGTGACGGATACGCCCATCGGTAGAAACTTCGTTTTCAATCTTCTATTTATATAATAGATTAATTTCTATCGTTTCAGTGTCACTTATAGTAGCATGCCCCTGTAAGGAACTGATATAATAACAACTGCCATAGTTGCTAGTAGTAGGTGTCACTTGTTCACCTTTGGAATCTAATCATTGTCTCAATTCCGTGCACCAAGGCCTTGTTGATTGTTTTCTCGTCAGAATAAACCCATCCCCTGTGACCACAAGGTAGTAAACTGTCGTAGCGCGGCCTTATGGTGGCAACTTGGCCATCAAGGAACCTAGCAAGAGTTTGCCTCTGTTTTTCGCCTTTGCATCTTACTCAAAAATCGGTTGATTATTGCATTTCTTCAATCATGTAATACACATGTAGTCTCTTTGGCGGCGAGCTTGAGCCTGGATTTGGTCCTTCCTCACCTTGCTTGATTCCCAAAATATTGAGTCCATGGACGACGCAAAATCTGACTACCATCATCAATGACGTCAACTTCTACGCTGCATATATCTTGAAATATTCGTGACCTCAAATTCAGAGTGCGATGAATCTCCGATTTCTGATTGGATCTGCGATATGAAGGCACAGATGATGTTATTAGAGGTGCTCGAACGTCATTTCAAAAGTTTCAGAGGCATCGGTCGACATACATCAAACAATCATTGTTACCTTGTTCAAAATCCGTCAAATAGAGTATATATTATATTCTTGCGACGGTATGCATGAGGCCAGTGCTGTGTTGTAAAGACACTTTATTGCAATCCTGTTGCTTTCTTTTCTTTTCTTCTCTTGGTTTTCTTTTCTTTCCTTTTTCTTCCTCTTCCCCCTTCATTTTCCCCGGGGGATCTACAGTAGTATAAATAGTTGCACCGTGACGAGTGAGTGTGCGTGTTGAATTCGATAGAAACGTAAAATAAGACCAAACATGCTAAATGGCCCCTTTCACTTAAAGGAGGTCATTCTTGTCATTTCATTTATAAGCGTTTGAACTCGCACAATAATTGTTGGATAGCACCTTCTTATCTAAACATTGTTAGGTTACTTCTCGCTCCCGTTTAATTTTTTCGCTCCTAAGTAATTGCCTTATATTCTAATCGTGAGGTCATGACGGTAAAACTAGTACTAGTTTTTCGCACCTTTGTACCTAGGACCAATCTTGCTTTGCGGTCACTTTTGTCTTGTCGTACCATACCAGTTACCCGATTTCACGCCCACAATCGCAAAGACAAAACAAAACAAAACAAAACAAAAAGAAAGAAATAGAATGAAACTAAACGTACTTGGTTTGATGGCTCTTGCAGCCTTTGCTGCTCCTTCTCTAACCGAAGCCAAGAAAAACAATGGCAATGGGAAAAATAGTGGTGGCGGAAGCACAACCACAACCACAACCACAAGCGGTACTGGCGGTGGAAACAACATTGGTCTATGCGCCGATCAATCAGTCTGCCTTAGCTTTACCACACCTGTGGCTGAAACCGGCGGTTGTTCGCTCAGTGGAACTTGCGGTGTCAAGGTCTGCATGGTCTTGGACACTACCCAGAGTGGATGTGCTAAAGATGGTCCAATCAGTCACTTGTGTGCCGCAAGTGAAGGTGGATGTGCTGCCTATGCCAGCGATGGAAGCCCTCTAACCGGAAAGGGAAGTTCCAGTGATTGTTCCAGTGATATCTTCAGTGGAAAGTGCGAGCCTTCTAGTTCTCAAACCAAGATTACCATGTGTCAAATTGGTGAGCCAGGAGAAACTCTTTACTGGGCCCTCAAGGATTCCTCAACAACCGATACCGGACCGTATGACTACACTGGTACTTACACCTTTGACAACGATGGCACCACGTGCTCGCCAACCATCTCCTGTGAAGGTGGACAATTGGAGAATATCCAGTGTGCGGATCCCAACAATGGCATGTACGACTCTACCCGTGTTTGGAAGTACGAGATCCCTAGCGCTGGCTCTTGCAGCGTCTGCACTGCTGAGCCCGATCCTACTCCCTTTCCCACCTCTGGACCTACCTCTCCACCTACTCCAGTCCCCACTTCGGGACCTACTCCAGTCCCCACCTCTGGACCTACCCCCACTCCCACTCCAGTTCCCACTTCGGGACCTACCTATTCACCAACCTCCACTCCTACTGGGTCACCCGTTGCTCCTCCACCCACCCCCGAAATCCAACCAACTCCAACGGCACCCACTCCTGGTACCACCACGGACAATGCTGGATCCAATGGAGATCCCCATTTCAAGACCTGGGTCGGAGAACACTTTGAATATCACGGACAGTGTGATTTGGTGCTCGCCAAGGATGCCAATTTTGCCGACGGTCTCGGTTTGGACGTCCAAATCCGTACCAAGTTGGTCCGATTCTGGTCGTACATCAAGTCCGCTGCCATTCGCATCGGCAACGATGTCTTTGAGATTGAAGGATCGGCCAATGGCGTCGAAGACGTTCGTTATTGGATCAATATGGAATTCCAAGGTAAAGTGGACACTGTCGGTGGCTTTCCCCTCAAAATCCTCCCGGCCAACAAGGGCAGCAAGCGATTCATTCAAATCGACTTGAGTTCCAAATACCCAGGTGCCATGATTGAAATGCAACTCTGGAAGGAATTCGTCAAGGTTGACTTTATCAATCCAACCGCCGAAGCCTTTGGCAATACCGTGGGCATGTTGGGAGAATTCAAGACGGGCAAGACTTTGGCCCGCGATGGAGCCACTGTCGTGGATGACTTTCACGCCCTTGGAAACGAATGGCAAGTGGTCCCCACCGAATTGATGCTGTTCCATCAAACGGAACATCCACAATTCCCCAGCAAGTGCATTGAACCCGAAGATCCTCGTGGGGATCGTCGCCGCCGTCTGGAAGAGTCCTCCGTCAATGTGGAAGATGCCGAAAAGGCATGTTCCGCCTTGACCGACGAACTTGACCGCAAGGATTGCGTTTACGATATCATTGCCACCCAAGACATGGATATGGCTGGTGCCTACTAAAACAATTGTATTGTATTGTATTGTATTGATTTGATTTCAAATGATTTCACATGATTTGATTAGGGAAACAAACCACACAAAATGCACAAAGCCAAATGCACACACAAGTGTTTGTCATGATATAATACTATTATACTAACTATATACTAATATATATATTTTTTAAAACATATTATTTGGAATTCAACAGAATCGATACTACCGTACACTGTAGTATTACATACTGTACACGGTATGTATAGATCGCAAGATGGTATATCTTTGGCAGACACCAGCAAGTGGTGCGAAGATTTGCTCATGCCAACAAATATATACTACTACGCAGTCCAATGGCAGTCGCCAGTAGTAGGTGTACCAAAATATAAACATAAGTAGTAGGTAATACAATATAAAAATAAATTTTTGTTTGGCAGACCACGACAATCATTGTGTCAACAAAAAAGCAAGAGCAGGAAGTGAACCCTTGTCACCAGAAGCAATCATATCCTCAAATAACACAACTTTTGCTCGAAACAGGGAAATGGATGAGGGTTGGAATCTACCGGTACGATGGTCGTACCTACTCATATATACATACACACAGAAATACGCGAGAGGAGACCCTGTCATGCTTTACCGGTATGTACCTATGCTGCCCATGACGACTCATGACGCATGAGTGAGTCAAACAATCATCCACAATATGATAGTCTGAAATCATCAATAAAGACCGACACGATTCCTCGCCAAAAGACATATGCCCAAGATCCAAATCAGGGTGCAGATCTATCCGATTCTACCCAAGGTGAAATGTACATTCCACTACCCCGGTACAGTAAAGTACGCGTAAGTTGGAACTACCAGGTACGAAGACGAATTGTTGCAAAAAAAAGATCCTTTTGAATACCGAAGTCTCTTGTTTTCAATCGCGTGAGATCCTTTGGTCGGTAGGCATTAAGTAAAAGTGGTCACAGAGAATGTGGTCGTATCGTCATTCATAAATTCGAGAACCCCTTTCTGGCATTATGGTCGCACGGGGATGTCACAACTTCGATCGACATTCTTTCAGTGGCCACAATGTGAACTGATTGGGCTTGGAAAAAGAACCCGTCGCAAGTTTCAAGATCGGAAACAAGAATGTCCGTCACAAATCAACATTACGATCACCGTCTCTTGTTTGTTTCATCGTCCATCGTTTCATAAAATTCGAAAGAAAAACAAACAAACTGAAAATTGGCTTGACATGTTCGTCCAAGCCCTCGCCCTATCTCTCCTCGCCCTTGCGACTCCTGGAGTCGATGCTGGTAAGCCAGTCAAGGGCAAAACAGTAAAAGCAAACCTTGGTCTTTGCTCTGCTCAAGCAGAATGCATCGACTTTACCATCAAGAAGCGTGACAGCAGCCGCTGTAAGCCCGATGGCAACTGCCCTGTCGAAGTCTGTATGATCTTGGACACCACCAAGGATGGATGTATGAAAGAAGGCCCTATCAGTCACTTGTGTGCTGCAAGCGATGGTGATGGATGTGCCGCTTTCGAAGAAGATGGTATTACCCCTCTCACTGGAAAGGGAAATTCTACGGACTGTACTCTTACAGGAGCTGACGAATCTGCCGCTTTTGATGGCAAGTGCGAACCTACTGATGATCAGACTCGTATTGTTATGTGCCAAGAAGGTGAAGCAGGAGAAACCCTTTTTTGGGCACTCAAGGATTCCAGTGTCGAAGACTTTGCCTCCTACGACTTTACTGGTGGCTTCACCTTTGACAAAGATTCTACGACATGCTCTCCAACGATAGAATGTACAGGAGATTCCGGTTTCCAATGCGCTGATCCAAGCAATGGAATGTTTGAGAAAACTCGTGTGTGGAAATACACAATTCCTGCCAATGATGGCGGTGCTTGTGATTTATGTGCTCCTCCTCCCGAAGAAGAAAAAGAGCCTGTTACTGCTGAAGGTGGCAAGAACAACCTCGCCCTTTGCTCTGCCCAAAAGGATTGCATTGACTTTACTATCAATAAGCGCGAGAGTCCCAGTTGCAATCTCAGTGGTAACTGCGGAATTGAAGTGTGTTTGATCTTGGACACCACCAAGGATGGCTGTGCCAAGGAGGGCCCCATCAGTCACTTATGTGCTGCAAGCGATGCCCATGGATGTGCCGCATATGCTGCCGATGGAACCCCTATGACTGGAAAAGGTAGCTCTTCGGATTGTAACCTTACTGGACTGGACGGCGCTTCCGCTTTTGATGGCAAGTGTGAACCTTCAGAACAACAAACCAAGATTGTCATGTGTCAAGAAGGTGAACCAGGGGAAACTCTCCACTGGGGTCTGAAGGATTCCAGTGTTACCGACCTTGGCTCCTACGACTATACTGGTGATTTTACCTTTGACAATGATTCTACGACATGCTCGCCAGTGATTGAATGTACGGGAGATTCTGGTTTGCAATGCGCTGATCCGAAGAATGGAATGTACGACGCTACTCGAGTTTGGAAATACACAATCCCTACGAATGACAGCAGTGCTTGCGATCTATGTGGCTCCAGTGGAACTTCTGATACCAATGTTGTCGATTCTGCTACCAGTGATGGTGACTCTGGATCAGTTGGATCTTCCGGTGCCGACTCTGAAACTGCCGCTGACTCTGGTACCAATGATGGTGACGCGAACTCTGATGTCGACTCTGAATCAAGTGGATCTTCTGGTAGCAACTCTGGAGTTGACTCTGATACCGGTAATGTTGACGTGACTAGCTCTGATTATCCTGACCCTATCTCTACCAATGATGGTGATGCGGCTAGCTCTGATGTCGACTCTGAATCAATTGGATCTTATGGTGATGTCGACTCTCAATCAATTGGAGCTTCTAGTGACGACTCTGAAACCAACGCTGACTCTGATACCAGTGACGCTGACGCGAGTAGCACCGATGGAAACTCTGCTGATATTGCGGTTGCTCCAACTGCCACTGCTGATCCTCCTACAACTGATACCACTGACGGTGACGTGACAAACTCTGATGGAGACTCTGAATCAACTGCATCTGCTGATAGCAATTCTGGAACCAACGCTGACTCTGATACCAGTGACGCTGACGCGAGTAGCGCCGATGGAGACTCTGCTGATATTGTGGTTGCTCCAACTGCCACTGCTGATCCTCCTACAACTGATACCACTGACGGTGACGTGACAAACTCTGATGGAGACTCTGAATCAACTGCATCTGCTGATAGCAATTCTGGAACCAACGCTGACTCTGATACCAGTGACGCTGACGCGAGTAGCGCCGATGGAGACTCTGCTGATATTGTGGTTGCTCCAACTGCCACTGCTGATCCTCCTACAACTGATACCACTGACGGTGACGTGACAAACTCTGATGGAGACTCTGAATCAACTGCATCTGCTGATAGCAATTCTGGAACCAACGCTGACTCTGATACCAGTGACGCTGACGCGAGTAGCGCCGATGGAGACTCTGCTGATATTGCGGTTGCTCCAACTGCCACTGCTGATCCTCCTACAACTGTGAATCCACCAACTGCAGTTCTGCCACCAATTGTTCCCGATACGGACCTAGCCAGCTACGAGGCCGGAAGTCAAGGTGATCCCCACTTCAAGACTTGGAGAAACGAGCACTACGAATACCATGGACAGTGTGACATGGTCTTGGTCAAGGATCCGAACTTCGCAGATGGTCTTGGTTTGGATGTTCAAATCCGTACCAAGTTGGTTCGCTTCTGGTCCTACATCAAGAGTGCCGCCATTCGCATTGGCAACGACGTCTTTGAGATTGAAGGTAGTGTGGATGGACCCATTGGAGAAATTCGTTACTGGTACAACATGGAGTTCAAGGGTCCTGTCAAGACTGTTGGTGGTTTCCCACTCACGATACGCAGTAACGGCCAATCCAAGAAGCAGGTTGTTCAAATCGACTTGGGCTCCAAGTACCCTGGATCTATTATTGAGTTCCAGATCTTCAAGGAGTTCGTCAAGGTTGACTTTTTGAAACCAACTGCCGATGCCTTTGGCAACACAGTCGGTATGCTGGGCGACTTCAGGACTGGCAAGACTTTGGCTCGTGACAGAGCAACAGAGATGCACGATTTCCGCGAACTTGGAAACGAATGGCAAGTCCATCCCCACGATATGATGCTCTTCCACATTACTGAGCAGCCCCAATTCCCAACTCAGTGCCTTGAGCCTGAAGACCCCCGTGGTGCACGTCGTCGCCGCCTCGAAGAGTCCTCCGTCAGTTTGGACGATGCTGAAAAAGCATGCGCTGATCTGACCGACGAACTCGACCGCAAGGACTGCGTCTATGACATTATCGCCACACAAGACATGACCATGGCCGGAGCCTATTGAAAAGTCAAAAACACTGCATATTATTAGATGTCTACGACATTATTGCCACTCAAGGCATGGCCATGGCCGGAACCTATTATTGAAAACTTCAAAAAAAACAACGAATGCATATTATAATCGAAATAAAATAAAATAAAACCAACAAACACCCACACCTTGATAGTAGTGTTTAAAAATGTCCCGTAGCTGTGCAGTGCTGGTTCAAAGCGTGTGGGTTGCTAAACTGTTTGTAGCAAAACTTGCATTGATGGGTATGAACAGCGCCATTGTGATTGTCGAGGGCTTGGACAGAACCAAATACACGGTTGCAAATCTGGCACGTTCGTGACGCCTTTTCTCTTTCAGCGTTGGCTACTAGCCGTATCGCCATCTCTCGTGCATTGTCGGCCAGCCGTTTTTCATTATCGCATGTTTGTACATGGTTGTTCAATAATTTGGAGGCGTCCCCTTCCAACCTATGACGTTTTGAATCGTGTTCTACAATGGACGCTACCAAGTTGCGTCGCCGCTCTTCGAGAGTCTCCAGTGCCTCGTCCACTTCTATTAACTTGTTTCTTGTTTCTTCTTCCGCATCGATGCTGCTTCCTGCTTGTTCCGCACTAGTTCTCTGCCTTTTTCGAGTGTATCCTTTACTCGTATGAACCCGAGGATTTCTCATAATCTCAGCAAGTTCACCAATGGTACAATCACGACGGAATAGTTGTGTCCTCCCTTGGCTCGGATGATCTAAGACTGTACCGATAGTTCTTGTCGTATAATAGACATTGATTCGAGTTTTCGTGGGTCCATCTTTGGAAAACGAAATAATTCGACTCTCTTCATTCAATCCAATCTCTTGGATTCCTTCAATGGCACATGCCACCCCCCTGACAAAATCAATCGTCCAACTTATTGGCAATGATGAAGCAGGCGGTGAACTCATCATGACTAAAGAATTCCCGTTTGGAGCACTACAAGGAGTTAGCATTGAATAGTCATCTCGTCTATCAAAGACCCATCCAGTTGTCCCTTTGACGCGGTAAAACTTTACTCCATTGGCCCCAATAATCTGACGATCGCACGTCAAGATAGCACCTGGAGGATATTCTGTAGGAAAGCGATACTGGAAGAGATCAATGGGTTGCTTGCGCAACTGAATTCTGTTCACCACTTTCCAATACCAAAGCCCCGTCCCAATTAAGACTTCTCTCATTACCTGTTGACAATATTTGTATCCAAAAAGCCACCCCATTCCATTTGTCAAACGCAAAAATGGGCCATTGCTTTCGCCATGCGGCGATTGTCGAAGGTAGTCACCGACGACTAGATTTCCTACATCGGCGATGCAATTTGGTATCTTTGCTTCCTCTCCAACGTCTGGTTGATCTCTCATCGCGACGCCATCATTACTTGTTATTTGATAGGCAAAAAGACCACAAGCGATGCTGTGTTCCGGAACTAGCATAAACCGAGCGCCACGCTTGTCAAAGACCCAAGACGATATGGAACCTTGGATGCGATAGAAGGTCGTCGATCCATCAATTACTTTCCGGTCGCAGTAGATCTTTTGCTGTGGCGGAAGAGTTATCCCAGGTAGAACAAAATTATTCAGATCAGTGCTTGCGCAATCATCAATGGGGTGGTTCCGAAGTAGTATTCCAACTGGATTGTTGTCTACATAAAAGCACCAAAGACCCGATTCGACTGGAACAGGCTCCATGATGACGGGTCCGTTCCCATTGCTGGAGAATGCCCTATCAAATAACCAGCCAGATCCATCGGCAAGTCTCAAGAATTTGGGACCTCCTTTATTATTGTTGTTGTCGTGATCTACTTGAATAATGCAATCAATGGAAACCAAATTCCCATTCTTGGCTTGTATCTTTGTTTTATAGGCATCATCCCAACTAGGTGCAGATCTAACAACAATGGGATATTCTGCGTCTATCACACGATAAACGAAACAACCTGCTTGTTTATTGCTCATATTATTGTTATTTTAATACATCATCATTTGTCAAAATTAAACGTACTGTAGATGATGGGATGACGTAAGGGAGAAAGGGGTGAGACGACGTCCAGACGATGCCACCAAAAAGTGCGCGTATCATGCGGGCGGTGTCATGTTTTATTATATTCTGGCCACGTCACTTTTCCCGAACCATTCGATCAAACTTCGTCATTCGAAAAATAATCGTAATCGTCACATCAATCACAAATCACAAATCATAATATTACGATTGCAATAAGCATTACCATCATCATCATCTACTCTGATCAAACAACAACAAAATGAAGTCTTTCCTAGCCATCATACTCGTCGCTTTCCTGTCCTTTGTTTCCCCCTCTGCTGCGTTCACAACACCTTCTATTTCCGAGGCTTCTAATATTAGAACAGTATCCACCACCACGAGCCTAGCCTTTGGTCCTTTCGGACAACCCAAGGATGATGGAAGCCCAGGAGATTATCTGTGCAAGGTAGGAGCATATAATTGTTTGTGCCGCTGAAATATGGGATCATGCCTGGTTCGCAACTTTTCATTTCAATTTCCATTCATTCCCGCTAATTCTTTATGCACACATATTTGCTTCATAACTCACAATTTTAGGACTGTGGATATGTCTTTACCAAGGGACCAAAGGCATGGGCTGCACTAGACGACAAGTACAAGTGCCCTCCTTGTGGAGCACCAAAGTTCCGATTCAAGAAAATCCCAAAGGGCTCGGCAGATGGAAAAGTTGAAGTCAAGAAGAGTTGGTTCTAGAGGATGGCTATGACTGACTGAATGACTATATAGATGGATATTACACTATACTAGAAGGCTATATTGAATTTTTCAAATTTGTCTTCGTCAGATATCCCTGCGTATCGGTTTGTTGTTCATGTTGGGAGAAATGGAACCACATTCAGAAAAATCGGGATCAGAGGCCGAATATACATATTATGGAATCAAGAAATCGTCATTCACATTCACATTCAAATCCTAATATACTTTTGTCGTAACTTGTCTTCTTCCAATGATAGCAGTACATGGTCCTTGTACTTTCGCTGCCAGAATCCTAGCTTTTTGGGAATGTTGGGATGCTTGAACCATTGAGTCTCATCTTCCAAGGTGCGCTGAAATGTTTCTTCCATCTTGGCAGCCAGCTCTGGGACCAATCTTCGATTGGCACAAGCCACATTGGACCAAGAGTGTACATCGTAGTAGGACATCCAACACTCTGTGATTCTCCAAAGTCGGTCTCGTCCCGCCCAGTAACAGACCATGCTGGCTTGTTCATCCAATAATTCGATGATATCGTACAAGTGTTGTCGCTTCCACGATCCCATCCAATTGTATTCAAACTCGAGATATTCCACTCGTTCCAGTACCTTGGAAGTGGCACCCAATAAGACGTCTCCGTCAAAACCTTCCACGTCAATGCTCAGCACATTGATATTCTGACTAGAAGGTGCCTGCACTTTACGTTCCACAAACTCTAATAGAGAATACACCTTGACCATTTCGCAATCCTGCTTGGAGCCACCTCTGCAGTCTCCCAGTCCAATGTTTTCCACTCCAGCCGCCTTGCCTCCACTGCGAAAGGGCATTTCGCCACTATTCCTGGAAACGGCACCGTGTGTCACAACCAATCCCTTGTCCGTGTATCCAAGTGTTTCAGCAGACTGCTGTAGCTTGTGATAGGTTTGTGGCATTGGTTCGATGCAGTGCATTTCTCCCCGAGGACGAAGAATCATTTTGCTAGAATTATTGGATGCGTGATGGTCATCATTCAGAATGGGAAAGACGTCGGCAGCCGAGTCTTGATTGCAAACGGATAGGTGCAATGATTCACTCCCATCACTAGTCATGGCTTGTTTCCACTTTGCTTTGTCAATATCCGCGTCATAGGTTCCCATTCGCAACGTATTAATGGCATCAAACCCCTTGTTGCATCCAATCGAAATACCCAAGAACTGTTGAGATTCGTGTTGCAAATTATTGAGTGACGACGACGACGACGACGACGACCATAGCTGTTTCCCTTGAGACGATTGATCAATATGACCATTGTAGTGTTCTCTTTGCAGGTCCAAATAGTAGTCTTCCAACCAGGTAGCATTTGGACATTTGGTGGCAGCCGTCAGACTGCAGACTTGGAAAAATGAAATCTTTCGAACGTGCTGCCGAACACAGGTTTCGGGTGGCATGTGATGGCGAACTTTCATCAGCTGGTCAGTGGTACAAAGTGGAGGCTTGGGAAACAACATTATTGCTTTGCTTTCTGGTGTTTGACCGATGGTAGAAAATGACGGCAAGACTGCTTTCCTTTCTGGTTTGGTAGAAGTTTTTTTCGTAGAAGATGATGGTATTATTTTGCCAGTGATATCGTCCAGACTCATCGCTATGTAATTGGAGTCACCTCGCCGATTGCTGGAGAGGAAGACCGAAATCAATGCCAGCGCCACTAGAAGAATCCTAGCTTTATTGCCTCGACTTTTGATCCTCTTTTTCTTTTTCCTCAGCGACAGGTGATTACTTAAGCCAAACTGAAAGAGACTCCTTAAATGGGCGAGAAAGCTGGAAACAATAGAGGACATCGAATGTTTCCCGTCACGCCGTCTGGTGTTTGTGAATGACTGCTGGGAACTTGGACTTATTCCGTGTGGAGATTCCCGCTGTATTTTGGTAGGACATTCCTCCTCCAATTCCAAGAAAGTATCATTATATGGCGACCATCTTGATGATAAGGGTAGAGTTTCGGCTTTCGTATGCTGCTGCTTGGTTGGCGTGAATTGTAGATGTCTTATTGTTGTTTCAGGAGAATGATGATGACTCGTCCTGTCAATAATTGGAGAAGGGCGGCTCATTGGATTTTTTAAATGACAGATAGCAATGGGGAAGCCCGATTTGTTTGGTTATGCTTGAGAAATTGCAATGGTTGCAGTGCTAGCGTCAGTTTGTTTCATTTCAAGTCTTCGATGCAATATACTATGATGACTGTATTTTATACATGATAATGATAATAATAAACGTCATCATCCATTTCGTCTATAATATTTTTTATCATTCTTGTCACTTCAAATGACCAATTCGATCGCATGATGAACATACCATTGCGATGTAAAACCTATAACCAGTAGGATGTGCATGTTTGCTTCATCATTCATTCTATCTTCATGTTGTATCCTTATTTTGCTGCATTCATTCTATCTTTATGTTATATCCTAATATGTATCTACCTTCTTCTATTGAAAAATTTTCTTCAGACTTCAGGCTCTAGTATACCACCATGATTTCTCTTGTTCGTCCACCGTTTATATCTTTCCTCTTGTGGAAAACGTCATTGTACGCATTCATTCTAAAATCGATTGTTCATTCTAGTAGCACGGCCATTGCGACGAGCCGAGGGCGATGCCATCCAATCGTGGTGACCCAAGTCGTCAAAGTTACCAATGGTTGGGATGGCATTCGGCGGGTGCTGATCATGGCTCTCCATTTGCTGTTGTTGAAGGACTCGTGGTATATTGACGGCGTTTGCAGTCGATGCAATTAGCAGGATGAAGGATAAAATGAAGATAGATGTGTTGTGGTAGGAGCTCATGGTGTGTCGTTCTTCGGGAATTAAGATGAAGATCTTTGCTTCTTCAATGGGTGATACTATGCGATGATGGGACAATGGATTTATGAGCACCTCTGTGGAAGGTGCAGATTTCAAAGATGTTTTCATGGCGCACTTCGCTGTTTTGTCATGTACGATTGATTGGTCTCGCTGGAAGCGTGGCATGAAGTATATCCATCATTCTCAGCATTCTTTTCTTGGACCGTTGGATGCGATGCATGCGCATGAAATATTCAATAATGTGATTCTGAGATTTCTCATTTTTATTACATGCATATATTCTCTTTATCATTTCGTGATGAGCGTGATCTGGCCGTTTTGCAAGTTCCGTCCATCGTGCGTCAAACCAGAGCAGTGACCGCTTAAAAGTTGAAAGTATAATAATATTGTGGGTCAATGTTTAATATATAAGGCGGGAGAGGACAGAAATTTTAAAGTTTCTCCCGCGAAATAAATATAATGGCAGCTTTAATTTGGTAAAAACGGTGGTGAAAATATAAAATACCGTATATGAATATGGGGACGTTCATGCTTCCGGCCAAGTTGAAAGTGGGACCGACGCAAAGACCATCTAGCAAAGGTACGTGTACCAGGCACCAGCGCAGGTACGTGTACTAAAAGTGCCTGTGTATGGTATGATTGGGCAACACACACTTGTTTTCAGCACGAAGTTGTTTTGTTTGTTAAGAAACTGAGAAATACGCACAACGACTTCCACGCCAAGGAAAGAGAAATTGATCATCTCTTTCATTGAGTCTAGGTTGTTGTGTTTAACGTCGCATTGTACACGTTTTATTACGTTCTCACACAGCTTCGGTTGGATCAAATTGTGCTGTTTGTGAGAGGCAATGATAATGAAGATGGTACGTTGAATGGGGACTAAGGAAGTCCGCATCACAATAACGTCAAACGCACACCTGTCCGTTAAGAGTTTTTCGAGAAGTTTTGGAAATGTGCAATTCTCACCTTGAGAATATATCCCTGCGGTATACGATCGCCATATATTAATATTACGGTTGTATGGTCATCTCGTTCATGTCATGTCATGTCATGCTATGCTATGCTTCATACCAAGACGAAAACTATGCTAGTCCGAATAAAACCAGTATAAACGTATCAATTCCATTCATTATATAATAATTCATATTGTAGAATATTAGAAAGTCGGACCGTTCTTCATTAGAATCGTTTGATCTCGCATGCAAAGACACCAGCACTATTCTAGACAAGCAACTTCTTGATCACCTCCAAATGACCATCACAACAAGACCTTCGGACTAGCAACATGACCAGGCCCAAATCATCCTTGCAACATATCATTCCAAATGGCGTCATTCCAGCTGTGGCTTCGGCATGAGCATCAGCACCCTTTTCGACTAGAAACTTGACTAACTCCCAATGACCCTTCCCACATGCCCAGAGCAATGGTGTCTCTCCACATCTTCTTTTGGCATTGATGTCAGCACCATTATTGACGAGCCATTTGATTAGCCTCAAATTTCCCTCATGGCATGCCATATGCAATGATGTGTTTCCTTCAGCGTCTGTGGCATTCACGTCAGCACCCTTATCAAGTAGCAAATTAACTACCTCCAATCGACACTCGTCGCGCGCCTTGTACAATGATGTCTTTCTTCCATCATCGTTCGTTGCATCAATGTCAGCACCGTTCTCGATTAGCAACTTCACTATCTCTAAATGACTTTCATCGCATGCATAGTGCAATGGTGTTTTCCCACCATATCTGTCTTGGACATTGATGTCAGCGACCTTCTCGAGTAGCAACTTGACCATCTCTAAATGACCTCCTTCGCATGCCGTATGCAAAGGGGTGTTTCCACCACTGTCTTGGGCATCAATTTCAGCACCCTTCCTCAGTAGCAATTTGACAACCTCTAAATGGCCATCGTAGCATGCAAAATGCAATGGTGTGTTTCCATCATCGTTTATGGTATCAATTTCAGCACCTTTCTTCAGTAGCAACTTGACAACCTCTAAATGACCCTTGTGGCATCCATAGTACAACGGTGTGTCTCCACATTGGTTATTGGCGTTAATGTCAGCACCCCTCTCTAGTAGCAACTTGACAACCCCGAAATGACCTTCATCGCATGCCTTATGCAATGGTGTCATGTTTCCTTGGCATTTGCATCCGCGCCTTTATTCAACAAAGTTCGAACGCGCGACAGTTTTCCTTTTCGCACAGCTTTGTGCAGCAGCCCATCATTCATCGCATCAGTACGAATATTCTCGTTCATTTTATTCTACTATCCTCTTGGCGGTTGTTGTCGTGAAAGTATTATATTGTGATCCGCGGTTATTTGCATCAAGATTCAAGATCAGATTGAAAAAGTCAGACGCGTTATATATGAAACGGCCCAAAGAATAGGCCCAAGGTATTGGGACTCTAGAAGCTCCTTCGGTTGAGTACAGAACTAGACCTTAGTCATCAGGTCCACGCACGTAAGCACTCTCAAGTGCCTTTCTACAGACATCTAGAATTCTCTCTTTAAAACTCTTCTGTAAAGGTTGGGTTAATATATTATAGTAGATTCAGTCCCTCAATTCTTTTATATGTTGTCATCTTGAGTCTTGCTGCTACTCGACCCTTGGCATCAATATCAGCACCCTTCTCAATTAGCAACTCAATAACCTCCAAATGACCGTTGTCACGCATGCCTTATTGTGCAATGGCTTGTCAGCACCCTTCTCGAGTAGCAACTTGAATATCTGCCAATGACCATTAGGGCATGCCTTGTGATTGGCATGATTCTCCATATTTATTCTTTTGGCTTATTCTATTTTTTAAAATATATCGGAGCAAACATTTTGTTGCGGTATATCGAATGAATCTCTATAGTGTACGCACACGTGTACACGTACCCGTGCGACGGGGGGTTATTATTTATCGCCATGGTGCAAGACAAAAATATGTTATTGTATTGCGCATGCATGTACAGCACGCCGCGCACAAACAAAAAATACAAAACAAGAAATGATTGATACCGTTGTATATATAATTTCCTAGGGTCACCGCATATAGCAAAGACGCATTACTCGACAGCATAGCACCTCTCTTCACCAGCGAGTCGTTACGACAGTATTTACAAGCGGTAAATGAATAAGCTGAAAAGGAGATGGTAAAATTCAAATTCTTCAGCAAGAAAAAGTCAAAGAAAAACCTCCTGAAAGATGAGCCTACAAAGTCATCGGAACCTTTACCGAAACCTCCTGCTCCTGCTCTGCCTACGATACCACAGCAACAGCAGGAAGATGAAAGTATTCAAGAAAATGGGTCGATATCGAATGGGGTGACTCCTATTACGAAACGATCCACTGCTTCCTCAATAATAAGTCATCACTCAACGACTAATAAGGACGAGTTATTATTTCAGGATGATACGAAGGATGAAGCGGACGAGCACACTCACGAAGATGAACACCACGAAGAAAATCAGGGTGTTTTCGCCGCACTTTGTGATGATGAATATGATAGTGCTTCACAGGATTTTCAGGAAAATAATGACAGCCATACGGATGAGGAAATAGATAATAGGGAAGAATTGGACCAGGATGAGGGCTTTCACCAAGAAGAAAAAGAAGAAGGGGACGAGCATGGTATTATATTCGCTGCATCTGGCGATGGTGAAAATGGCGCTGCTGCTGCCAGTGCTACGGATATCAACATGTCAGCTGAAGCTGCAGCAGGGTACTACGACTATGGCGATGCGGCTCCGTCGATCCCTCAAGACTACAAACAAGATGAGATTGGCATGCCAACTGGTGAGGCCGTTACTTCACATGGCGCCAGTGATATGGATGATAGTGGCCCAATTGCGGACAACGTTGCAGCGTATTACGGCTATGGCGACGCAGCACCTTCGGCTGCATATCGCGAGGATGAATCTCCTGTCGGCACTGATGCCTACGATGCGCCCGATACAATAAGTGCCAATCTTTACGGCTACGAGGATGCGGCTCCTGATATCAACGCTCTCAACTTGTTGTCAGATTCTCATGAAGACAATGAGGCTCTACAAATCGAAGCTCAACCTGGAGACGAGTCCAACGAATCCTCATTTGAACCAACGTTGGATGATCCAAAGAGTAAAGCGTCACTTCAACCTGCATTGGATGACCCAGTCAAACAGAATGGCGAAGAAGAAATGTCCCAAGCGGCAAAACTCTATCTGGCCAAGCGTCACCGATTGAAGCAGAGGCGAATGTCCATGACACCAACCGAGCAGCGGACCGAACGTGCAGCAGCACGCCGCAACAAATTGCTGTTGAAAAAGCTTCTGAAAAAGGAAATGTCGGAAGAAGACGATTATATCCAGACACACCTTGGCTGCGATGACAAGGGAATGTGTTTGCGACACCCGAATATGATAATCGTGGGGAAAGTGAACGAATTTCGATTCAAAAGCATATTTTCGTGCAAGATTTGTGCCTCGGAACAAAAGGCAGGCGGGCATGCCCGACAACGAAAAAGTATGTGTATGGTCATTGGTGACATCAAGTCGCTGCAAAAGGACAGGCGATCGTGGCGAAAGCGAACACAGGTCATGCATCATGGTAAAGAATACGATTCGGATGAGGACGATAGCTACGACGAAGGCAAGCAATCAGACAGTAGCAACAGCTTGGATAGCATCGAAAAGATTACCGGGTTCTTCGCGGAAGGAACCGATGCTGATGATCTGAGTAAACAAGACGATGTCTGGAAGGAGAAAGTGGCTGGAAGAGTGGCGCAAGTTCGCGCCTGGGATGGCAAGGCTGCCCTCAAGTGCAACCCCGTATTTGCTAAATACTTCCGAATGGTGTCATTAGGTATGTGAGATTGAGGTTTGTTGCATGGTTGCATATTGCTTGGAAACAAGTTCACCCTAATCATTTGTTCGAAACCAGGCGTTCCTCCCGATGCAGTAAAGCAATCTTGCGAATTCGATGGCTGGGATCCTCGGGTGATGGATTTGGATCCCAATCGACCACTACGAGATCAGCTGTATTCTGACAGAACTTGGAAGAAAAGCGAAAAGGAAGACCTTCTTTTGAACATTCGACTTTGCATGGGTCAAGAGTCGGCGCAGGAAGATACGGGAAATGGTTTAGTTGAAACAGTAGACAATGTGTTTCAAGCTTATTGCAAAAAGAAGGAATCTATTGAATTGCACCGAATAGAGGTGAAAAAACAAGAAGAAGCACAAAAGTGGATTGGAAGTGGCCAGTCTCTTCTCAAGAGGACCACAGCAAAAACAGCAAAGCCAGTGAAACCCCAAGTGAACCAAACTCTTGAAATCATGAAAGACATCGAGGAAAGCTTTGCAAAAGGAGTTGATCCCGAACCACAAGGTGCTGAGCCAGCCGAATTATCTTCATCCAGTGTTGAAAAAAGCGAGGAACTCAATACCGAGCATCCAGCAAAGGATGGGACAGAGCCAGAGACCGTTGAAACGCGCTCAATACTTTCGTCGGAATTCAACCAAAGCCTTGCCAGCATTGGTGAAATTCCTGAAGGAGAGTTGGAATCCGATGGTGACTCCTCCAGTGAAAACGAAAAAGTGTCCCATTCTGATTCGGGAACCAAGTCACCAGTCGTTGATGAGGCCGAAACCCATGCCGAAGAAACCATGAAGAATGCATCCGCACTAGCGAATATTATGAAAGGGAGCCTAAACGAAGAGAAGTCTGAAGAACAGCCACCATCTGACGAGCTCGATCCAACACAGAGTGATCCTGGAAGTAAGCCCGCCATTCCATCACCAGATCCTATTGAGCAGGCTGAAAACAAATCAGCATGGAGTGATGACGAAGAGATTGACTTGCCACTAAATGATGACGATTTCGCGGGCAATAAAAGGAAAGAACAGCCGCCGAGGCAATTGTCAATTGATTCGGAAGCAATGTACTCAGTAGCCGATGATGGAGGTGGTGATAGTGATGAAGGCGATGATATAGAAGATGGGAAGGATACCCAACCATCGAGACAACTTTCAATAGATTCGGCAGCAATGTATTCCGTAGCTGATGATGGAGTGGGTAACAGTGAGGAAGGCGATGCGAAGGAAGATATTTTGTATGCGGCATTCGAAAGCAACCAAAGATACTCGGTTATCGATGAAATCTTCGATGATTGGGACGAGCCGCTTGGTATTCCTAACTCGGACGAAACAGGGCAAGCACCAGAAATTGACGACGTCTCAGTGGGATCCAATATGACTGGTGATACCGGCAAATTGTTGAAACGATCCAGCAAACGAATAAGTAGGCAGAATAAGATCAGAGACATTGAGAAAGCCCATCGCATGTTAGAAGCGAAGGACATCATCGTCGCCAGCCTCGTTTCGAAGATCGAAAGATTGCAGGAAGAACTTGCAAGGCAGAGAATTATTGGAGGTAACGGTGAAAAATACGTCGCAGAGCTCCGGGAGACCAAACGACTTATGGCAGAAAAAGAAGTAATTGCTGTCAGCGTCGAAAAGCAGATAAAGCGTCAAGAATGTGAAGCTAATGAGAAATGGCATGCCATCGAAGAGCAGACTTTACAAATCATGAGACTCAAGGAGAAGCTTGCGTCACAAGAAAAGGACTCTGGGAAGGGCCAACGCAGTTCCAAAGTGAAGAGACAAAGCAGCAGTCGAAAAAGCAAGACCTCAGAAGCAAGTGATTATGCACAAAAAAAGTCTTCCTCGTCCTCTACAAAGAAAAAGAGTTCATCGTCGAAGGATAAGAAGAAATCCTCAAAAGGTAGAAAGAGTCGCTCGAAGAGCAAGTCATCAAAGAAGTCGAAGCGAAAGGACAATCTAGACAGGGACCATCTCAGAGCAGTCTTCAAAAACTTCGTCCGAAAGCTTATCATCATCACTCGAAGTTTTGACCAGAATTTTCACGTGGACAAAGAGATGTCAGTGGATAGAAAGAGCTTCCGCAGAAGCAGTATGCGAATGGACGCATGGGTGGCTCCAACCGAATGGAACGACTTCCTTAGCGACGACGAGGAAGATCTTGATTCAAAGCCTCCAAGACCACCGCCCACCTCCTCTACTTCATCTTCACCTTCACCTTATGCCACATTTCAGAAGATTCGATGGGCTGATGATGACAATATCTGCAAAGTTGCCTTTGTAGAACGCATTCAAGACGATTTAAAGAAGGACTTGTTCTACAACGGCGAAGATATCAACCGTTTCCGGCTGGATAAGTTCATGGAGGATCACGAGGATGAATTTGAACTGGTCGAAGAGGACGACTCTGACTACAGCGAGGAGTGGGTAGAGGAAGAATTCAGCGGAGAAGAGGAAGAGATCGAATATTACGATGAAGAAGTAGTTTCAGATGACGAAGCTAGCTACGAAGAAGAGATTGTCACGGACGATAATTACTCGATCGTAGAAATTCCCGCACAACAGAACAGGCGACGGAGCCTTTTCTAAAGCATCTAAAGATTCTCTTTTGTTTTTCTTAGATGTCATGTGTGCGGCTGCTTTTTTAAAATTTTTTTAATTCTCAATCACGCTATCTTTCAAAGCAGCCGAGGTAGTCAAGACCAATGCACAGAAGCTGCAGACTCTGTTTGAAGATTACTCGAAATCGATTCCAATGAACTTGTAGAGCGCGAGAAGAATTCCGATCTCCAATGCAGGCACAGTTCACTGGTTCTTGGGACAATATTTATGAAGATGCCTGAGTACCAAGATGTAGTCTACAATAGGGACATGCCGCTCTTTCATGAGCACCAATCTATTTAAGACATGAACAACATTTGTAGCTGTATTGCAAAGGGGACGAAACGACTCTCACAAAAACGAATTCCATGGCCATCTGCTATTGAGGCCTTATGCCAAGTGGTAAGTATCAGAATTTATAACAAACCGATGCTTGGTACTTGCTTCTATAGTTCCGATTTCAACAACCTTCGGTTGGAAAAGTTCGTCGAAGATCATCCAGATGACTATGAATGGGTATCTAATGATGATGAAGAAGAGTACGATTATGAAGAAAAAATTGAAGAAGAAGCTGTTTACGAATATTTCAAAGTAGAGGCTATCGAAGACGCACCAGTGAAGGCACTGATGTCTGACAAACTAGCTTGTAGAAATATCACTCGAAACATTATCATTGCCCCAAATGTTTACTTTTCATATGTGCTGTGTCACACCATGTCGTGGATTGCTATCATGCTCCCATAATGAACTACAATCGCCATTCGGGAAAACATGCCCCCGGTCGATGTTTTCCTTTTCCCGCCCTTGACTCTTTTGCGGCATCTACTGTGTCATAGGTGCTGTCTTTTCGTCCAGCTTGTAGAGCATTTCCAATTGTTTTTTTGCTGGCGATGGTGACTCTTGTGCATCTTCAGCCCATGTTTCATCGACAACAGCTAGCATCTCAGAATCCATGGCTCTTGATGGCAACATTGCCTGTCCAAAGCTGTCGCTCGATCCACCCATATCGTCAAGGCGGTACTGCTTTTCATTAAGAGTCGCTGCACTGATGGCAATAGACGGTGAATTGGATACTAAGGATAAGCCACTCATTGGTTTCTTCGGCTTATCGAAGGAGTTGTCGAAATCGTCGGATAGGCTTGTTGAAAGACCTCCAGACATGCTCCCTGAAAAGCTGTCCATTCCAAGCGAACGAATACTATCTGGTCGCTTCTGTAAAAAAATGTCTTTTGGTTGGGTGCGGTTGCGCTGCTGAGGTTGAGGCTGGACTTTCTTCGCCAGGTTTCTCATATGTGCCTTTGCTTGTTGACTCGATGGCATTTCTTGGTCTTGAACATCATCCCTCCATGACTCGTCAACAACAGCAAGCATCTCGGAATCAATGGCTCTTGATGGCAATACTGCATATCCAAAGCTATCCGAGGATTCACCCATATCGTCAAGGTAGAATTGCTTTTCATTCATCGTGGCGGCACTGATAGCAATGGACGGGGAACTAACCAAAGACCGATTACTCTTTGGCTTCCTGAATTCAAATTCACCTGATAAATTTGTCGAGCCAGACGGCCACATCAAATCATCAGAATTGAGTGAAAGCATGCTGGCGTCTCCCCCAGAGAGTCTAGAGAGCTGGTCTGGTCGGCCTGATCCAAATGATCTCACACTATCTGCACGCCAAGGTTTCTTACGCTGCTGGTCTGACTGACCTGATCCATGTGATCTCACACTGTCTGCACGCCAACTGCGTTGCTTCGATCGCAAGTTTTTGACGAGGTTTCTCATTTGTGCTTTCGGTGGAACACAAGATGGCGCTTTTTCATCTCTTAGGTCTTCTGTCCACGCCTCGTCAACAACTGCAAGCATCTCAGAATCAATAGCCCTCGGTAAACCGGCGGACGAAGATCCAAGCGATCGTATGCTATCGACACGTTGCTGCAATGCGCTAATATCAATATGCTTTGATGCTGTTGCATGTGCAGTGGTATCGTCGTTATTGTTCCAACTTTCGTCTTCTAGTTTGGTCTGCATGCCGCTTGTATCCCAAAGCAGTTCTTTCTGAAATTGAAGTTGCGCGTCAACTCCCTTGTCGTCGCCATTTACAGTTCTCCTACTATGTGATGAGACTTTGGCGTCTGAATCCTTCACCAATTCTTCTGAAGTAAAGGAGGTGTAAGCAGGGTCATCGAGATCTACTGACAGTGCACTGATGGAAGTCGAGCGACGTAGGTTTCTTTGGGATATCTGGTCTGGTGGAATGACTTCTTCTATGATTTCATATTCGGCAGCTGCAAAGGTGTCCTGATTAGTTCCTTCGGATGCACTGAAATCGCCAAAGTCGGTACTGTGATACGTTTCCATATCCAAGTTCAAGCTGAAGTGGAACGACTCGTCACCACCCTTTGTTAGCTCACCGTTTCTTACTTCTTCGAGATTTCTCAAGCTTCTCGACGATCTCCTGGTATCATCTTTGCGTTCTGGATTTTGTGGCGGCTCGATGCCAGCATCAGATTCTGCAAGCAATTTGGCCTGCTCATTAGTTGACGAAGCTTCCAAAGCATTGCTTTCGCTCTCCGCAGACAAAGATTTAGAGCCATCTGTCATGGATCCACAAAGTGAGGAAGCCGTGTCTGCCCGTGCATTTAATCTGCCAAGCTCAACCTCCAGTGGCAGTGACATTTGTTTCGGTGGCCTTTTCGCAGCCTTGTTTGATGGAGTCGTGTTATCAATGGAAAGACGATCCATGAATGCATTTCCAGGAGCAAATCGAGGAACTTTCGTACTTGGTTTCGGCGAAAGGCTATTGGCCAGAGGAGATTCTTCGGCGACATCATCAAGGCTGAGGAGATATCGTTCTGACCGCCTTGAGTGTCCGGACACTAGCGACTTCCGCTCCGAATTGCTGTTGCTCCTCCTCGATCCCTCCATACTGCTATCGCTGGTTCTCTTGTGGCTGCTCATTGAATAGCACGTGGCCTCCTCAAAGTCGCTGTCTTCCAGGAATGTGATTTCTTCAAACGAGGAATCATCCGATTGAATTTTTTGCCGTACCGATGCACCTTTTGCCATTAACACTCGGATGGCACTCTCAGGCTTGACCACATCCTCAACCGAAGAGTCTATAGACCCCCCTCTACTCGTCATGGACCGTTGCGACACAGGCACGCTTTCTGAATGAATAGAGTACGACTCTGGTTTTTCTAATGGAGTGGAGGAAGCTGTTGTACTAATCAGGGATTGCTGCGAAGCAGGTTGGATGGTTTCCGAATGAAGAGATTCTGATTCTGGCTTTTTCTCATCGTCCACGTCATCTGATTCGTATTCTTCCATCTCCAATACTACTTGTGTCATGATTGGTGCCGCCTGCTGTTGGTTGGATGATACCAAGGTCTTGTTCGATTCTGTCTTCTTGGGTGACTCGCTGGAATCTTCCTCGTAATCCACCATTTTGGGCGGAATCTCTGGAGGCCGTAACAGTGGCAAGGTGCCAGATGGATTTTGCAAGCTGTTAGAGTCGCTGTAATAACTTGGCTCTGTGGTAGATACCTCTGCATAATCTGATATTGATTCCGAGGTGCCACTGGAACTACTGGATGCATATCCCAAATGATAGACTGGTTCGATTTTGGTATTCTTCAATGTTTCTTGTGATACCGCCTGGGCCAATGCCGATATTTTCTTGAGATCCGCCGTCACTTGCCGAGACAAGGCCCTGGCCCGTGGTTGCCACCGGACATATTTGACTGGCAGTATGGCCACTCGAAATGTGAGAATGACCATGGACACAAACACAATGACCAGTTGACTAAATGTAATCCAAGCAAAGGCATCCATGGCATCATTGCAAAGCATGTCTTGTGCCAAGGATGTAAAGATTGGATTCCATGTGCTACAGGCCGCATGGATTCTCGTTTCGTGCAAGATGGAAGCCGCCTGACACAATTCCCCTTCGGCCATGCTGGCCACCCCCGACAATATGGATTCCGAAAATGGTCCACAGGTATCTTTAATGTCCCCATTGGCAAAAATGATAATGTTCGATTGTAGCATTTTGGTATCCCTTACACTTTGTACGAGTTGATTAATATCCGAACTGAAAATATCCGGAACAAAGACATTCGAACAGCCTGACAATGATTGGATTTGAAAGTGAGCGGAATTTTTGTTTGTATCAATTTAAAATGTGAGTATAAAAGTGGGAATGAATCAATGAATGAATGAATCTGGAGCAATAACACCAACATGCGGTCCAATCCTCAACAGGAGACTTACTGGTCACAAAATGTCGAATCAAATCGCGCAAGGTTGGCGATATTGATCCGTCGCCTCGTTGCACCAAGGCCACCACCTTTTCCGTCGGCCCATCATGACAAAAGTCACTCGTCGTCAGGGATGCTAGCACAAAGGTCGATGCAAATATCCAACAGACTACTACCACCAATGCAAAGAGCGGAATGAGACAATAGGATCGAATCCAAATAAAACAGTTGGGAACCTTTCGTCGTTTGGACCAAGCGAGTGCCACCCCCAATAAAATGTAGAGACAGAGTGCATCCAGCAAAAAGACAAAGATTGTGGATAGTGTCAAACCGAGTTCCATATTTTCCAAGGTGGATACCCAATCGTCAATTTCCACTTGGCTGGAATGTAAGTCGTGGTGCAAGTTGTGCATGGTATTTGACATTTTGGTCTGATACTGAATCAAGGTCGAGATCCAACTCTTCACCAAGCTACCGTGTGGTATTCCACTCCAATCGCAATCTTCGTCCAACAGCAAATTCCTGCAAATCCGCGGTTTCACCAAAGGACAATAGGAATTGGTGTGATCCAGAATTTGAGTAATGTTGGACGATTGCGAAAAGTCGAGAAAGCCTTGTATCCGATCCATTTCTTGTTGGGTATCCGTTTGGACTTGTGTTAAAGTAACTTTGGAATCCTGGACCGCTTTTGATAAATGCTTGGCTCCTTGGATGTAAAAGAGTGTCGAGCCTATAATGACGACTAGACATCCTACCACCACTGTGATGCGCGTACAGTTGATGCGTCGCTTGTAGACCGCTCTGGCGTAGTTCCAACCAACTAGATCCGATTGATACCTCCGCAGGTCTCGATTGTAGTCTCGTATTCTAGTTTCGCGCAATTTCTGTTCTTCTGGACTGAGAGATGACGCGATTTCAGTTGAAGGGTCAGTATTGTTGTCAACAAGCTCCTCTGGCTTTTCAGGTTCTCTCGGTGGCAGTGGCTTGGAAAAGGGTCTTCCAAAGTATTTGTTTTCTTCTTCGTCCTGTTCATATTGTAAGAGTACTTCCTTTTGCTTAATTTTGCGGTAAATATCTTGCTGTTTCTTTTGTCCCGGCAGTTTGTGGCGTCGCCGTTGAGAATACACGAGTATCAGGGACATCCAAATGAAGATAATGGTTCCGGTAATGATGGTGGTGGCAAACAAACCCGTTCTATATTGTCCATCATCACTGTCATTATCATCGTTATTTATTATGAAATTAACCAAATCATTGCTTCTTCCAAAGCGATACCAGCGTTCATGAAACCACTTGACCATGTTCGAGGGAACAAACGGTGAAGCAGTAAAGGAAGGATCATCCTGCCAAAAAATGAGTCGAGAGGGACACTGAGGCTGACTGACTGGCGTTGTTGATATTAACGAGGAATTCATTTGTGATTAAAGAGTTAACGGTGAGGGCTCATGGAGCAATGTGTAGTGTGAAGTATAATGTGCAATGTGTAGTTCGCTGTACTGTAGTATGGTTGTATCGTTGTACAGTATCCGTCTATCAAACTCGCACACACAATGTACTTCTGAGATTTTCTTATATTTTCTTATTTCACTTTGGTGTTATCATATCAATCCCAAAAAATAGGTGCATGGAAAAACTCCTTGGGCCCGAATGTTGGTAACATCCTTTTAAACAGAAACCAATGTCACAGCGTTAAATGTACTTATGTTTCGTTAATTGCCACAGGTAGGCCAAAAATGGGATTGATTTTGTCGAAGGCTTCGAATTTATGGCATTCGGAACAAACAAGATGCGTGCATGCATCGCTTACTTTCTCTTCCCGCGCCCTCAGCAGAAACTGACTTTTGGGGAGACGGAATCTAAATCCGGCATTCTCCCTAAATTCATCATCATCATCATGAAATAATCAGATGTCGGTCTACAGTAGAGTGTGATGCTACCTGCAGTACATCATTTAGACATTCGTTATTTGGTAGAAGTCTACCCTACCTTGTTGGTCAAAAATCCCAATTGTATATGTAATAAAAGTATAGGCTAATATAAAATAACATGCAATTTTGGCATGATGTTGATACCGGTACTACGCCTACATCAGCCATTCAAAAGTGGGTGCAAAACTTTTGGTGATTGGATGGATGGATGGATGGCTGGATTTCGATAATCCAGTATCCGTTCCATCAATAAATCAATCAATCAATCAATCAATCAAATCAATGAATTCATCAATCATATAAACTGCCGCGCCGTTCTTTATCCAATTTGTGGTGGCCAAGTGACTTTGCAGTTGTCATCCACAAAGATCTGAACTCGTCCTGGCATATATTCTTCGGTAATCATCTCTTCCAAATTTACAATGGACGCTTGGACGGAGGGAACTTCGTCTCGAATTCGTTTCCGTGCCTCCACACCATCCATCCCCACCAATTCGGGCCATTCCGACTTGTTTTTCAAATTCAGAATGGAAGTGCGTTTCAATACAGCCTGGGGACGTTTGTGCTTGGGATGCGGCGAGAATGCCAATTGAAACGAATTGGATTTGCGGTGTCGGCCGGGGACATGTGACTTCACTTGCATCATCATATTATGTGCGTTTGTTTGTTAGGTGGTGGTGGTGTTTGGTGAACGATGTTATTGATAGTGGAGAGTGTATAGAATTTGTGGAATTTGTTGTGGTGTATTGTGATGAGCTGGTGATGGTTGATCTAAAAAAAAGAAAAGCTCATAAGGCGTTTGTACACAAGGTATCCAATATGACCCTCATTACTCATTGGGCAATTTTCGACCAGAGCTTCGGAAGGGCCAGATTGATGATAGCGCGTACATAACGTCCATGACACGTATATTAAATGCAAAATAAAAACGAGTACCGGGTGGTGTCACGATCGTGTTCTTCAGCTTTTTCTCCCGCGTTTTTATCAAGATCAGATGAATCTTATTTTTATATGTACACCCCCGTGAAAAAAGTACCATAATCGACGGTTGACAAGACAAAATCCAAACATCGCGCATTTCTCTACTTCAAGGTATCCACATGAAAGTCACGACTCCTCAACACGACCCAAATATGATACCGGTACACTACACATAACCGCAATGAATGAATGATGATGACATCACATATTTCCGTTGGGCTTCTGGTTGTTTGGCAATATTCCAGTATATTCTTATATCACAACCGTTCGGGTAGCAGGATGATGATTGGGACAACGAGAACTCCGTTGAGGCCAATAAGTTTGCATCTTGCATGCTCACCAATCTCATAGGTACCGGTAGAAAGAAATCATATTCACATCATTAATACAGTATCATCATCATTATTAACATCATAATCTGACAACAATAACATCATGTTCAAACGAGAAATGATAGATACGTCTCTCCTCTCGCCGCCACCAGCACCGGCAAGTAGAACAACAAAACCTAGTAATGATAATACTGCCACGACCATGTGTGGTGCCTGGAAGGCCAATGCCAGTTGCAGTTGTGGAAAAGTCAAGGCAAGGATTCAGACTCTTGACGACGACGAGGCCCCACCTCCGATGCGATTGGTATGTTACTGTCGAGATTGCCGTGGATACTTTGAGACACTGCTGAATCAAAGAAGAATGCAACTATCGCCGCAATTATCATCGTGCAAGACTTGTATGAATGTCAACAAGACTGGCAATGGCGCTGTTGGAGAAGAAGAGGAAGAAGTAGAAGAAGAGATGAATGAGGAGGCGGACGAAAGAAAAAGAGAACAAACGGATGCTTGGGTGATTGACGTGAGTTATTCTTGAATAATATTATTGTTCGAGCCATCAGTACCTGGTACTGCATGATGAGTTTTGATCGATTCATTCTTCGTTCATTCATTCCATCATTTCTCAATGGTTTCCATATATACGTACGTCGTCGATACTCTTATAGGAATGGGGAGGTGTGAATTGGACCTGCTTGTACCCAAGAGACATTCAAATGGTCCAAGGAACGGATTTGCTCAAGGTAGTCAAGATTCGACAAGGTTCCAAGATTCGACAAGTACATTCGACTTGCTGTCATTCTCCAATCTTTCGTATTGGTAGTGTTTCGCTGGTAAGTTGCATCATTGCTGTATTATGTGTTGTATTGAATTCAAATCATGATGATTGGAAATATGAAACGAATTCTTGGATCCAGCTTTTAAGGATCCTTTTTCGTCCGATGTTCCGTTGCCGTGTGACTGTGGCGAGACGTCGTGACTTGTGGCTAACTTTGTTTTTGTCATTCCACATTATATCTCGCAGCTTGTCAATTCCAATATCATCGAGTCGGAGCAAGAAGACACAACAACAATTTTTCTTCTTCCTCCCATTCAGTATCGTATAATTGGGCGTCAGGCGTGGAAGAAAAGAAAGGTAATGGAAAACAAAGTTGGAGGATCTACTATAGTACATCAAAAAAGCAACCAAATACTAGTACTACCGAAACCCAAAATGAGTTGGTCGGTTCCCTTTGGATGGTACTTTTGCATGCCCAAACGAATCCGAAGCGACCTCATGGAACCTATGCCTTTGGAGTTTGACGAGGAGGATCAAGTGGAAGTATTGAAAGACTTTCAGGAGGGTTCGAAGTAGAGTAGACATTGTTGCATTGCGGAAGCATATTACAATATACAATATACCGGTATATCAAATAGATATATTAGCACTAACACATCTCGGTAGGTACCTGGTACGCTGATGGGTAAGATATACGAGTAGTCCTGTAATAGTATGGTATCTTATTTTGATCTTCCACGTACTTTGTGAGGCCATCACATCTTCAATATACGGACGGGCAGACAGATTTGCAAATACATGCTTAGGGCTAAAAAATCACACTCGTACTTCATCTTTGTTTTTGGCCAATCAAAATGGCGAAGATTATGACATCCTTGTTCGGCGGAATTTTGAAATTAACCATCTGTTACGGATTCCGGTTTACTGACTCACTTCTGTAGACGCTACGCAACCAAAGTACTATGGCTACCCACGAATTACAGACACGCATGCGTCTTTCCAACAAACCATTCTTTTTTCCTGTTGATCCATCACTTGACAGACAAAGAAAGAAATTCGCAGCAATCTTTTCCCTGTTCCAACTCTTCTCATTGAAAAAAATTTCAGTCATCAGCTTTGTTCTCATTACTGTATTCATTGCATCGAAGCAGCTTCCAATCTCACCCAAGAATCCAGTCTAACGCACACACGCACAGCATCAACAAAAGAAACATCATCATCATCATCATGTCCACGACACAAATCACCATGAACACGAACCGAACTCCAAGCTTGCTCCTCATTGCAGCAATGTCTGCCTTGAGCCCAGCGTATGCCTTTGCGTTTACGACATCTTTCTCTCACTCTGCTCACGCCAGTGCGACCGCCCTTCATTTGAAATCCGGTCAAGGAAATCAATTGGTGGCTGCCTTCAATGCTGCCGCTGTCAAGAAGGATCATGACGATGATTTTGTTGCCGCTGCCACGAATGCTGTATTGGAACAACAAAAGCATGAGACCGCTCCTGCCAACCCAGAAGCTCGAAGCCTTGCAGCTCGTCTCTTTTCTTTAGATTTCAACAACCATGCCAAGGATGATGTTGTATATTATCCATTGGTTGGATTCAAGATGGTTCATCATGAAGGTCGTGTCATTCCTCTGCCCACGAGCAGCACTGCCTGCTGTCAAATTCCAACTCGGGAACAAGCAGATCAAGAAGTCTACGGATGGTTCAGTCCTGCTTGCCATTTGGATTTATATTCGGAAGATATCTGTCACGGGCCTACAGAAGAAGCGTCATCATAGCTAGCCGCCATGGTTTGATGTACGTGAACTGTGGGGCCAGTCCAAGCAACACGTAAATGTAGTGCTCTTGGTGCCCATGTAGAAGTAACCAGATGCTACTGTAACTATCAATTATAATTCAAACAAGAGTATCTCTGATTATTTTTGTGCTGTATTATAACATTCTTCCAATTCATATTCATGGTGAGCGCTGTGAAGGAACAATATAAATCGCCCCAGAGATCTTCCACGATTCACTATTTTTTTACGACTGAGGCTATCATTGATCAGAATTAGACTTTAGTTTCAAAGCCATGCCGTGAGAGAATGAAATGCTGAAATGAGCAATCGAAAGTGTTTCATTATATTGTTATGTGTGCTTGTGCGTGTGTGCGTGTGTGTGTGTGTGTGTCGTGGTGTAGTATGCAAACTAATGCAACAATTGACGTCTTCTTCTTCTTCTTCTTACAAGACTACCTCCCACGGCCGCTCTTCCCACTTAAATCCACTTGTCTTGAAGTGCCCCCGCTTTGTGAAATGCTTCTTTCCCAACCCCATGTGAAAGACGTGACCTCCTTCAAAGCTTTCCCATTTGGTTGAAGACGATGATTCCAGCTCTTCTTCTTTGCCAAAGGTAAATGCGAATGGCTTGGCTTTTGGACGAGAAATGAGCTTTGGTTCGTATTCTTCGTCGTCTTCGTCGCTGGGTGCATCCTCTTCGTCACTGAGCCCATCTTCTATTTGACTTTCTCCAATTTGGAAAAGGCCGAAAAGTGGACCCCTGCTGTTTTCAGCTTCCTCCTTGGTCGTGGTGGTGATATCGATAACGAAACGAGAAGGTGGTGCCAGATGGCCACTAGACTTTAGAATGCCAGAAGTCTTGTTGCTGGTCATGACGGAAACAGAGTAATTCAGAGAATCCTCATTGTCATCTACCGAATACTCATCTTCCCACTTGTCGACACCACCAGTGACGGACTTCTTCTTGTTGGCTTCCTCGTCTCGCTTCTTTTGGAGCTCCAGTTGCTTTTGGAGCTTTTCCTCGTGCTCCTTGCGTTCGTTTTCTCGTCGTCGTTGTTGCAACCGTTTTTGTAAGAGCTCTTCTTGTTCTCGTCGCATCTCATCATATTGTAAACGTTGTTGCTGTTCGGCAGCATGCCCTTGTTTGTACATGCGCATTCGTGCAATGCTGCTCTTGATGTCGATACCCTTCATCATTTGGGCCATCTTTTGAGAAGAATTGTAGTTGTGCTCCTTACGAACGACATCGGGAGCAAAGTTGCCATCGGCATCGAACTCTCTCATGGTCAGAACGGAAACGGAATACGTGTCTTCTTGGCTTGGTGTGTGCTTGGTCGAAGAGGAAGGTCCATAGTCCTTGTGGGGTTCAGTGATCTCGTTTTCTTTAGTCTTGTCTTGTTGGGTCTTAGTAGTAGAAGTGATTGGCTTGTCTTGTTCTGACTCATCCTCGAGTTCATCATAGCCAAGATCATACACCACAGTTTCAAAGAACTGTTCCCGCACTGGGTTGCGGCGTAGGAGCCGATTCTTCTTCTGTTTCTTCCTGTTAGTCTTCGTCCGTTTCTCGGATGCAATAGAGTTGTTATCGGTGGTCTCGATCGCAATTGGCACAGTCTTCGTGTCCGGTCGAATTGTATCGATAACCGGTGCTTGGTGTGGGCCGTGCTTTTCGCTCTGAGACGAGTCAGTAGTAGTCGAATCTGTATTGATTCTCTCAATGTCGCCGTATACCATGATCTTGCTGGTCATCTGACGGAACAGAGAAGTATCTTTGGACTTGGAAGACTGACCCTTTGACTTGTTGATGGGATCATGCTGATCATCATTGTTCTTTTTTGGTGCTGCTGCGTCCAGTGTCGTATCCTCGCCACAGGAAAACATGGTCCGCCATTGGTGGACGGCCTTTTCAACATATAGCTTGGTCTTCATGGTTGAAAGGCAAATATGCTTCTTGAAATGTTTTGTGATGAAACTTTATCCAACAGTCGATTGTCACATTTTTCCTTCCAATAATTCACATTGCAAGTCTTGTGATCAGTCGGTTTTGGAGAAACGAGTGGCGAAAAAGTGAGTCGGATGGCAGCCTGTTGGCAAGTCCGCTTGGTCGTGTACAAGTAGATTGTACGTGACTCCCGTACCAATCTTTTTCATTCGGACGACGATGCGACACTGGAACATCCGCCAAAACAAGGATGCTCACAAGATCATCAAACTGATTGGAATCGGAATGGCACAATTTTAAAGATGATAATGATTGACCGTCCTTTGCTTGTTGTGTCAGCACGGAAAGCTTCCAATTGAGCCTTCAATCTTTATACCAACAATTCCCACAAGCGCTAGGAGTACTTGAGAGAATGATGAACTTGCGCTTGCATTTCGAAACGACTCCATCATGAGGATATTAGACGGCTGATTAATTCATTCATTCTACATGATGCACAGTGATACAATACAAAAAATGATGGGGAAAATGGCAGTGCCTCCTACGAAACCAAAAGCATGAATGCACCCGCATATACATGATTGGTGTTCATCTGTTCTACCTATTTGCCGAGGCGCAAACTTTTACTCGAATTTGCTGGACGCCCCATTGGTGCTTCCTTGTGCCAACCATCTCAGCATGTCAACAGAGATTCCTTCGAAAAAATCAGCATCCTTGGGTATTGCGGTGACTGCCAAGATGGATTCGACGCTTGTGGAGACTCCCCTCTCAAGTTTGAGGGATTGGTGACCTGGACGATTGTCATTGGTGTACAGCCAAACGTCGACTGCCATGCCCTTGACCCCTTCCTCTGGATCCCATAGAATGACTTCACCATTTTGTATCTTTGCGCTTCTCACGAACTGGTTCCACCCGGAACAATAATTCTTCCGGCCTTGCTTTCCAGCCGAACAGTTACCAATGAGAACGCTCTTTCCATGATTTTGCTTGAACTTGAAACCGGAAATCTTCTTGCCGGGTCCTGGTACCCACCGACCAATCGCCCCTGCAACTGGAGTCTTGCTAAACTGTTCCACCAATCTGCCAGAGGAGCCTGGTTCATACACTGAAGAAAGAAAGAGAAAAAGCAATGAGAATGGCACATCGTCAAATGAATGAATCAGTCCAAACGACTTCAGAACAAGAATTCGATACATACCGAGATAACAAGCCCCGCCTTCAGGACAGGGCGCTTCCATGGCAGATGGATACCCTTCTTTTGGTTCGCGTACTGGAATGGAATTAACATCTTCCATTGTTTGGGATACATCCTCCGCCGGCTTGTCTTCCTTGGCAAAAACAGAAGCGACTGCAGGAGATGGAAGCGCAGTAGATGCTGCCTTATTGGGACTGGATGCTGATACGCCAGAGTTGTGGACCAAGCTATTAAAGGTGGCCACGGCTCCCATCTTTTTGGCTTGCTTGGACCACTTGCGAGCTCGTAGAGTTTGATAATCAAAGTTGGCACCCTTGGGCAGACATGCAATCGCATCCAGTCCAGCCGTTTCGAATTGAATCCCAGGGACCTTTTCACAAATGGCATCCCCCCCATTGTTTTGATAGGTGTAGAATTCTATTGGCATGCCATATTTGGTCAACGTAATGACCGTTCCATTCATGGACTTGGCAGCCTTGACAAACTGACTCCATCCCTTGAAGCTGAATTGAAACAAGAAGAAGAAAAAAAAAGGATAAATGCAGTGTCAGAAATGATGGTTTCCATTATTGACATTTCACTTCACTTCATTCAAAACAACATGATAACCACTCACTAATTGGATGGACTCTGTTGACATTCCGTCGCACAATTTCCAATAAACTCATTGGAACCCAACCCTTGGGCTTGTTTGAAATCGGTAATATCCGTAGAGGACCAGACTCCGACCGCATGGTCCATGGGAGTTTCGGAATAATAAATATTGAGTTTGGCATTGCCAGCATCCTGTTCGTCATATACCAAGTAACAGGCTCCAACTCCATTCAAGATGGATAGTACTTGATCGTCCGCTGGAGACTGAGGAGGTGCCGACGATGCCTCTGCAGTAGTAGTAGCAGTAGTAGTAGCAGTAGTAGTAGCAGCATTACCACCAGTAGCTACATCTTGTTCGTGTTCCTTGTATCCAGGAATCTCCGGTGTCACATCCAAGGGCGGCGATGAGTCATTGCCTTGTGTCTCGACCACTCCTGGTGATGATAAAGAGGAAGGTTCGGGCACGTACTTTCCAGTGGAAACATCCTCTGGCATGGAAGTTAGTGGTGGCGCTTGAGGTGTTTGCGGTGCTGTCGTTTGAGCACCAGCAGTAGCAGCAACAGCAACAGTTGGTGATGCCTTGTGAGCCGAGGGTGGTTCCAATGGAACGGCTTCCTTTCGGAGTGTCCCATTGCCACCAGGAGTTGGTTCGGGTTTCATCGCATTATCTTGGTGTTGATGATGATATTTCTTGACCTGTTGCGCATTGGGTGTACTAGGAGCATGTCCATCCGTTTCTTGTTGGAGTACACGACGTTGGGCCTTGGTGGTAGTTTTGGGTGGTGACAAGGCAGGTGGTTCGGCAATGTTGGAAACTTGTGCCTTGAGATTGGGAGTGGCAGGTGGTGGTGCTGCTGACACATAAGGTGGCTCGGTGGTGGACAATTCGGCATTTTCCGTTCCAGGTGATGGCCTCGCTGGCTTTTTGGCCGAGGTGGGAGGCGATCGTGCCGGAGGTTCTTCTCTTCGATTACCATTCTTATCTTGAAGTACAGCATACCCACCTTCCGGTGGTTCCAATGGTCCGGTGTCTCCATCCTCGTCTCGTTCGGAATCTGGCTTTTTGGGACCAAACGTACTAGCATCATCAGTGGTTGGTGGTTGTGCCAAATTGAGTAGGTGATGATATAGATCGGATGCTGGTGGATAATACGGTTCCTTTCCTTCGTTTCTGGATTGCAAATGTTCGGGTATGGAACTACTCGAAATGGGCGACGACGATGACGACGAGGAAGATCCTTGTCGTCGTCGTTGTTGTTGTTGGTGTTGTTGTTCTCCCATGATTGTATCCTTGTCGTGAAAAGTCAATTGACGTTTGGATGGGGCGGCGGCAACCTCCTCCTCATGAGTAGTGATGGGAATCTTGTACAAGTCTTGTTCACAAGTCAATGTCCCATCCTTTTTCCATGTCCGCATAAGATCCAAGGATCCCAAATATTCAATAGGATCATGGTGATTGCCAATATTCTTATTGGAAAGAAAGAATTGTGGATATTCCTTTGAAATTTTGGAAATCTTGGTCAATTCCCGAGTCTTTTCGGGTTTGCTTTCCGCCAGTACAATAAACGGCAAGATTCCAATTTGTTTGCAAAAGACCATGGCATCGTCTTGATCAATGGCCTGTTGATTGGTGGACGGTTTCATGCTACAAAGTACCATCAATCGTCGGCGAGAATTTGGCCTTGTTGTTGGTGGTGTCGCTGTTGTAATAGGGGTAGTAGTTGAAGTAGTATTGGAAATGGGTGCCGTCATGACACTGCTGTCGGTACTAATGGCATCGGATGGTTCTGGCGTAGTAGTAGTAGTAGTAGTAGTATTTGTGGCAGCCGCAGCAGTAGCAGCAGTAGTAGTGGCTGTAGTGGCTGTAGTAGTATGGGATGGTGGTTGCAAGGCAGCGATATCTTCGTCCAAACCTTCATCTGTGGATTGAGAACGGCGCGACTTTTGTAGCAAGGGAGGCATTGTAGTTTCCAAATTGGGGGAGACAGTAGTAATGTCTTCGTTAGTGTTGGTTGCGACATGAACCACAGTATCCTCTCCCTTTTCGTTTTCCTGTTCTTCTTCTTCAAATTCCGAAGTGAATTCCGCTTCAAAGGAATCTTCCACGCTAGTAGTAGTAGTAGTAGTGGTAGCATTCTTAGCGTTATTATTGTTGGCGACAGCATTCACGTTACTACTATTCTGCTTGCTGGCGGGGCGTTGTTGAAAGGTATAATTGAGAGCATTCTCCACAGCTTCCGCGTTGAGCAAGACCAAGTATTTAATGACTCCACGCAGCTCGGAATCAGACAGCTGTTCAATTTGCTGATAGATTCCTTGATCATCAAGAGTGGCATTCATGATCGATTGATTGATTGATTGATTGATTGATTGATAGATTGATTGATTGGTATACTATCGTTGATCGAATCGATGGGGATGATCGATTGATTGATTGATATATTGATTGATATATTGTTGATTGATATACTGAATTCAACAGTATTCTACAATGCAATGCAATGCAATATAATACAAGACAATGAATGAATGGCCTGTTCAATACAAATAGACTTTATCCAAACGCGGTACAAGTATATTATTACCGGTATGTTCAAGACCAACTTCATAAAAACGGTATTTTTTCGTTTCGTTTATTCGTTTCGTGTGTCAATAAATTTCAAAACTGTTGGGCACGCGGACTAACGGCCGACCGACTTGATGGTCAAAGGAGTCGAATATTGCAAAGGAGTCGACTGCACTGACTTACTCTCAGCAAAGAACGTCTCTGTGCTGACTTGGTTTCCCTTCTCAAAAACACCCACCCACCCACTCGCACGTCAAGCACGGAAGTAATAGAAGCTCCGATATTGCGCTAGTTTTGTACATTTCCTTCTCCTTCCTTCTTTTAGCAGACATCATAAACATTTGGAAGCTCAAAACAGACAAAACAAAACAAAACAAAACAAACGCACTTCAAAAATGTCCTTTCAGCGTTCTACTACACATACCAGTATTCTTGCCTTCACTGCTGTGATGATGATGATTCTAACACTGTCATTAACAAGCCAGAACGGAGGAGGAGTTGATGCCTTTGTTTCTTCTCCTCATTCTGCTGCTGTTCGTTCCACGTTTACTACTCCTTCCTTCCAATGCAAATCCAAATCCCCCGTTTCTTCTTCTTCTTCTCCTTCCTCCTCCCAATTGAACTTCTTTTCAGGATACGAAATGGGTGGAACGGATGCTGTGAACAATGAACGCAAGAATAAGAGTGGAAATACTGGTAGAACTATTAGTAAGAACAACAAGGACGAGGCTGCCAATACTGCTGGATCATTGGATGAAACAGAAGACCCTCTCTTCCTTGCCAGTCTCATCACCAAGGGAATCATCATTCTAATCATCAAGACGGCGAAGGACATTGTCAATTATCCACCCAATCTATTGGATCAATACAATCGTTATCAGCAAATGCGCAATCAAGAGATTGCCAACAACAATAGCAACATTCAACTTCAACAACAACAAGCAGAAGAAAAAGAAAAAGAATTGGAGGACCCTGCCATGGTCATGTCAGCAAAAATGGAACCAACTGAGTCTGACACTGACACTACAACAACTTCTACTCCTACTACTACTCCTTCTCCATATATGCCACTTCCCATTGAACTCACCAAGACCAATCCATTCATTCTATTGGCCAAGTTTGTGGGTGTCTTGACCTACAAGACCATGCACGATGCCATTTATTATCCAGCTCTATGGATCAATGATTTTCTTCATCCACCGCACAACGATGATGATGCGTATTATTACTATTAAAGAACCATAGTGGGAATGGATGGAAATGATTGGAGTGGAGCGGATTGGAGGATCCCACCATTGCTTTGCATACCATGGAGCTGAAACCCATCATCATCGTCGCCGCGTGAAAGAGTGTGCGATTGCTTGGGAATCATAATTTGCTGGACACAACGAATATCATATTGTACCCGAAGAAGGCAACAGAGACGACAAACGAGCCACGAACGAAAACGACGAAAGCGAACTGTATCCGATGCACTATATTCAATATCCGAGGCATGAACGAAAGACAAACAAGAAAAACGCAAAAGACTTTTCCATTGATTTTATATTCTATCTATGCATATACATAACTTCAACTTTCATGACGCGAACTTAAGACACAACACGAATCATCATCGAAAAAGGGGAAAAGGAAAAGAGTTGAGATGATCATGGAAGCCTCTTGCATATTCGATATAGTAAGTATACAGTTCTTTACTTCTATAATGCATACTATATATGCGGTATATACATATTATAATACATCGTATGATAACATATAATAATACTACGATACTCATATATACGGTAGCCTTGTATGTGTATGCAATGGCTTTTATCCTATAGGGTGGTGCGAACAATCAGTCAGAATAAGCCAACTCGATCATCGGTGCAAGTAGTCACTATAGGTCAGTAGATCACTAGATCACTCTTTATCCAACTCCGAATCAATCAGTCAACAGTATAATGATGAATAATTATGATATTTCAGCATTCACGAGTAAAGGATGTCTGCAATGGGTTTTGCATATAATGGAATTTATTGTAATAAATAATAATAATAATGATTCAAAATCTACGTTGTCTATAATCGCCTTTTTTATATCCAACCCTACATTAGTTGACATCTCCTTATTGTCGTGTCAAGAAGGAGTCGCTGATAACAATTCTCCAATTGAACAATTCAGAGCATACTCTCTGTGCGGTGTCTTCTCGTTCGTCACTAGGAGTCGCTGATTCACTCACTCACTCAGTCGATCATTGCCAATCGATCAAAAGAAACACACTCGCTCGTCAATTACTCACTCACTCACTCACTCACTCACTCACTCACTATAGTAGCTAATAATAGGCCTCCGCTTGAATTTCCACAGCAAAATTCCCCATTCCCGCTTGCACACAAATTCGTGTGGGCAATCCTTCTGGATCGACCCACTGGTCATACACATCGTTCATTTCTTTCAAATTGGCTGGTGTGTATTCGGCCACGTAAATGCGCACCGCCAACAAATTCTTGCGAGGAACCTTGGCTTCTTGTAATATGGCATCCAACTTGGCCAAAGCTTCCGATGTTTGTTGGGCTGTGGAGGATCCAGGTACTTTGGAAACGTCACCGACCAAACCTTGGGTTCGTAAAATACCGTCGTGTTGGATCCATTTGCTCATGCGCCACTCTTTGAATCCTGGAACGCGAACAATAACGGCGGCCGTGGAGGGAGGCTTTCGTTTGATGGTGGCGGCAAATATGGCTGACGATACTACAGAACCAACGACGATCCCTAAGGAAAGTGCTGTTGCAGTTTCCTTGTTGTTGCTGATCATTCTATTGTATTATACTTCAATAATAGTTACTGTAGGATATACTCGTATGTATTGGATGCCAATAATTTTGGGGTATTGTTCGAAATTTGATTTTATTTTTTATTGTGACCCAAAATAAGTTGGATATTATTGGCGTGCGGATGGACAGACAGACCATGTACCTCAATCTTCTTCATCTCGTGCGTGATCGTACGTTTCACATAATTTAGTCGGATCAATCCATCAATCGTCTCAAATCGCATACGTCAGTGGCTTTTTCTGGTCGGAAGAGCAAATCTTGCATTAAATGAAACAATGTCGCAGTGTTAATTACCAAGGTTCCACGTCAAGTGCGCGCACCATTGCATCACCAAACACACCACGCCACACACACACACCCCTCGCCGATAAGACAGTTGAGCGTGTTTTTTGTTGTTTTTTGTTGTTTTTGTTGTAGGACGGATCTAGACCTCGTTTCCTCTCTTGTTTCCTCTCTCTCCTGTGATATTATTACACGGTACATATCTTCTCTCTTCTCTTCTCTTCTCTTATATACATATACACCCATACTGTAAAATGAAGACCTGTGCATTCTCTGCTGTAGTTCTATTGAGTGCTTCCTCGGCCTCTGCATTTGCTCCTTCCTCTCTCCTAAACAAGGCTACGAGCAGCAACAGCAACAACAGCAACAACAGCAACAGCAACAACAGCAACAACAATCCATCTTCGGATGTGATTGTCATGCACAACGTGGGAAGCAAATGGGCGTACAATCCGTTTGGAGGCACTTACCAAGATTTGCCTCCTGGCCGTGTCAGTACGGATCCTGCTGCTGCAGATGGCTTTGGAAGCAAGTGGGCGTACAATCCTTTTGGCGCCACTTATCAAGATCTGCCATCTGCTCCTACCAGCTCCAATCCGAATGACGCCGATGGCTTTGGCAGCAAATGGGCCTACAACCCATTCGGTGCCACCTACCAAGACCTCCCTTCTGCCCCCACCAGTTCCAATCCGAATGACGCGGATGGCTTTGGCAGCAAGTGGGCCTACAATCCCTTCGGCGCCACGTACCAAGACTTGCCAGCGGCTGGTCCAACTTCTACGGATCCCACTAAGTGGTACTTTCAACCATGGAGTGGTGTCTACCAATCTCAGTTCACTCCTCTCTTTACTAGAGGTGTTGATAAGTGGTACTTTGAACCAAGAAGCGTCATTCCACCCAATGATGAATTCTTTCATGGATACAACTCGGCGTCTCACATGTGGGTTCCAGACCAACTATATGCCGAGCCACAACCATTCTCTGCTCCAGCTCCTGCTGCTCCAGCTCCAGCTGCTCTAGAAGCTTCTCAACAAGGTGCTGTTCCACCCACGACAACAACAACAACAGCTGCATCTGCACCACCAGCACAACAAGAGCAACAACAGCAACAAGCACCACCACAAATGATGCCCGAACCAACCCCACAAAAAATGCCAGAAGACTCTACCATGTCGGCATACGACAAGGCCATGTCTGGAAACTAAACAGAACAGAACCAAAAAAAATGAAAACCGCAAGTTTGATATATATATCATATATATTGTGTATTGTGTTGTGTTGTGTTGTGTTGTGTTGTGTTGTGTTGTGTTGTGTTGTGATGGGTACATCCTACGTATCTTTACTACATTATTATACACAAGGTATATATCATTGTTCTTTGTTGGAATGTAGGGGAATGAGTGTACGATCATGCTTCATCATTTGTGGTCCATTCATAAATGAATAAATCATGCATCCACTGGTAGCAGGTTTCTTGGCAAGCAATATCATAATAGATTTAGGAATAGTAGTTTGTTTATTGCAGTTTATGTTCATGGATACGGTCCTACCATATTTATTCAACAATTGAATGATTATTGCCACAGCATCATAAAAAGGTATTGCAAGATCATTTGCTCTTTTCAATCGAATCAATCCATGCAAAGAACAGATATTACTGTACGTCACTCAATAACGCGGATGGTTGGTTCAAACAAACGGGGGGAGCTGCTGCTATCCAAATGATATATATATGATATCCCGTCGAAACATGCCGGATCGGCCCGCCGGCAATAAATCCATAATCCATACTATTATAGCATGCAATCATTTCTCATAATACTGCGTACTATATACTGTTGATGGAAATGACACCACGATTGCATCGATATATGAGCTTTCTATCATCATAAAGCACATTTAGATCAGATTGCTTCTTTGGTCGTCATGATGGTAGGCTATAAAGGGGAAACGATGGGCGGAATAATGATGAGAGATGATGACTTATTCAGATCCGGCGATTCTGTTAATAATAATAATAATAATAATATTGAGGCGGCGGATGAAACCACAATGAGAACGAATCAATCATCATCGCCATCATCGCCATCATCATCGCCATCATCATTGCCATCACTGCCTCAGCCTCAAGCGCCATCCGACACAAAAACAGCAAGGCGATTGTCGCCGCAAAACTTTACATTTTCCAATTTTGACTTGTTCCAGCACTCTGTTTCAAATCGACAGCAACAATTGCTGCAGAAATTGTCGACCAACAATAACAACACTAAGAAGAATAAGAGACGGCGGAACAAAAAACATCATTCACCCTGCTTGTGGGGCGCGTTCATGGCCATCCTCTTGTGCCAGTGCATTCTGTTTCTATTTCAGGCTTCCATTTCAAATTATTACCATTACCATTACCATTACCATAATGATAATGATAATGATAATGATAATGATAATAGTATGGAAATAAGTCATTATGGAGGCGTGGGTTTGACATTGTTTCTGTCCAAGTCATCATTATCATTATCATCATCATCATATCATAACAAGATCGGAAATAAGAACAACATTGGAATGGACACTACTAATATCGACCAAACAAGTGGGAGCACTATTACCATTATTCATCGTCCAAGATTATTGATTGGTCTCTTTTCCGACTATGGAAGTGATGGAAGTGGTGCGCATGGCGGTGGTGGGAGCAACCAACCAGGTAGTCGTATTAGTAGTGGTGGCGGTGGCAGTACCAACAGCAATAGCAAGACGTATCGAAATCGTCATCGAAAGCTGTTTCAATTGTGGAATGACACGAGATTATGTCCCTACAATGCCTTTCGACAACGACAGCGACAACGACAGCGACGACTCCTTGCTTCGAAACAGGATCCGAACAACCACAAGTCAAATTTGGACCTCAATGACGATGACGACTATGACGACGATGAATGCCTGATATTGTATACCTTTGTGATTGGAGCCCATCGTCGCAATACTAATAATGATGATGATAACAACAACAAGGAAGCCAGCAGCACCAGCAACAGCAACAGCAGCAATTATAATAATAATAATGGTGATGAGATTCCAACATTACGATTGGAAGGAACACGTGACGAACCCTTGGAGATTGAACTGGGCACTGCTTCCTTGTCGTCCAATGTGAATCCTAACATTACCGCACAAATTTCCAAAAATCTTCCTTTGGATTTGATACGGCATCGAGATTACACGTTGCTCAACATTCGAGAGAACATGAACGACGGCAAGTCTCCATCCTTCTTTGCCTGGGCACACTCGGAAGCGACCAGTCCAAGAAATACGATAGAAGGACATTCCATGTTTTCCTATGCGGCCAAGTGTGATTTGGATGCCATGCTTCGACTTGACTTTGTCCTCCAAGTCTTGCACAGAGACTTGATATGGATCCCGAATCATGTCACCAGCCCGATGAATATTCCTGCCTCCACAGAACAACCAGCAATCGTTTCATCTAAGGATCAAGCTCTGCCAAATCATGCAACAATAACAACGCCTCTCAAGACGGATCCTACTTCCGTGGGAGGCATTGTCTTGGGATGCTTGCGCCACAAGGCAATGTGGGCAGATACTACGAAGGATGACTTTTGGAGGGCAAACTATCAGAATGGAATGCATTTGTATTTGGGTGGTCAATTCTACATTGTGAGTGTCAATTTGATTCCGGGCCTAGTGCAGGAAGCTCAAGTACAGCAGCTCAAGCATGGAATGCAATCTACCGGGGATAATTACATGGCAGGTCATGAAGATCATGACGTCCTCTCTATGATTCAAGCAGCTTCTATCAAGAATGGGCAACTAGTGCGGTGGATCAGCATGCCACGGAATTATCGATTCTGGGAACATCCGGTCAAGGGTGAAATGTGGTGGAAACGAATTTGGAAACGAGAGTCACGAAAAGCAGCAGAAGGAAAACTACCATCCAGAAACAAATATTCCTTGCCGGTTGCTCCCAAAGGTCTGCCGTCTCTTCTCATCGTACTAGGTGCAGCCGATCCGAAGGATCGGGTATCATATCGAGACAAACTGATTACCGAACAACACCGAGGAGGCAAAAGGATTTGCTCGCTCATGGACTATCGAACAGCCGATGCTTCTACTGTTAGGTGCGACTTGGTCTATACCTTTGTCGTAGGGGGAAATGATAAAGGACCAAATGAGATTGTTCGCGGGGAGGACCGGATTGAACTTGATGATTTTCACAAAGGCGAGAAGGATCTATTGATGCTGAATATAAGGTATGTTGGAAATCTGTGATCAGCGTTCTTTTGACTTTTTGGATGACTTTATTCTCAACTCGTGGCTTGGTAATAATAGAGACAACACGAACAGTGGCATGGGACAGACAGTGCTATTCCATTTACAGAATATCCTTGAAAGCAAACTGGAGACTTCTTTTGACATGGTCGTCTTCTGCAATGCTCAGACTGTTCTATCCGTGGAACAATGGAACAGAGTCCAGTACCAACAAACAAGATCCCATCGCAACCTTATTGTTGGTGACATACGAGACAAGGATCAGCTGCCAGTCGAGTTTGGTACCGAGCGGAGGAATGAGACATACTTTTTTCTGGAACAAGAGAATATTCATGTGTATCCTGGAAGCGACAATGCTTGTTTTGCGGTGAGCACGAACCTTGTTGACAACATGCTCCGTCACGCAAACGAATCCTTTGGACTGTCGAAAGGTGTAAAAGTAATCAGGGAGGACTCTAGCAGGAAGAGAAAATTCAAGATATTCAATCCACGAGCATACTTTGTTCAGAACCTTGGATACGATCTAACGACACTCGCCTACATGACCCCATTCACAGTATTGCATTGGGTTCCAATCTCAAAGGGTCAAGCACCATGGTATACATTGTGAATGCCAGCCAGCCATATTGTATACTAGAAAGCAAAATGTTGAAATTGAATTATGGTTCTATAAAGCTGTTGTTACTTCTATATTGGTTTGGTCACTCAGACACTCAAGTCACCTACAAGTACACATGGAAACATGAATCACATAGCCACACTTTGCTCCACTTATTAGGCGGACGGAATATGAACAAACTGCTTGTTGTCTGGAAGACGCTCGCAGTTGTATCCAGCAAGTGCCCAGTCGGCTTCGGTAATGCCTGTCTCTTCATCACTGTCGGGGAAGTAGTGAGAAAAGGCAAGGTATGTGTAACTTGCAATTCCAGAAACAATATGGTTGGTGGTAAAAACGGGATCATCGAATTCAAGTTCGAGGAATTTCTCAAAGTCATCAAGTTTGAGACACAGTTCTTGGAGGACTCGATCATCAACGTAGTTCATGACATCATCGAATTTTGAATCTGGAATTGGGACCTTGTCATTTTTCGAAAAGGCTTCATCTCCAAAGTGATCCCTGTAGGAACAGTCCCAGAGCGCTGCGCGTTGAATGAAAGTGTTTTGCAACGTCTCGGTGGCAACCGATCGGTAGGCTACAATCTGTTCGGAGAGGTACTCGGTGACGGAATTCATGCTCTCGTCCAAGAAGCCGCTGGTTTCGTTGACAAAGGACACAATGTTCTCAAGATCATCGTTGTACTTTTGCAGTTCATCGACCTTACTGGAGAACTGGTCGACTTCTTCTACGAGTGCAGTGACATTGTCTTCGAGGTTCTTGCGAACTTGCTCCAAGTCGCTGGTGGCATTTTCCAATCTTCCAACTTCGGTAGCGAGCTGTCCATTCTGAGTCTCCAGGCGATCGATTTCGGAAGCTAAATCACCAACTTCACCGTCCAATCGATCGATGGTATTGTTCAAATCCATATTCAGTCCCTCCAAGATCTTGTTTTGGTTCGCCTATCGATGAAAAGAAGAATGGTGTTAGAAGGGTTGCGGAAGAATCCAAGTCCATCAGGCGCACGCAATTGATTTGACTTACCAATTCAGTATTTGAGTTTGTCAAATCACCAATGGTATTATTCAAGTCTCGGTTGAGTCTCTTGTACTCTTCATTTGAAGCTACCAATCGATCAATCTCTGCTTCCAATTGAGTTGTAGTTTGATTCAACTCTCCGTTCAAATCACCTTGGTTGTCCAAGAGATTCTTGTAGGTATCAAGAGTGGAGTTCAAAGTCGAGATCTGATCGGAAAGTTTTGTTTGGGCATTCAATAGATCAAAGTTCTCTTGGGTCAAGTAGGTCACGTCCCGAAGCAGGGCCAAGTTCTCATCCGAAAGATTGGAATTCAAGCCAAGCAAGTTCAAAGCAGATTCTCGAAGAACGACATTCAACTCAGTAACGCGTTCATTTCCACTTCGAATTAGGTCTTCTTGTCTCTTCAGGATACGGAGATTGTCATTGAGCTCGCCTTTGTATTGCACGTCTTGGAGCTCGCGTCTCTTCACCTTCGGGTTTCCTCCAGCTACAATGGCAGTCTGTCTCAACTCATCAGCAAGAGCATTGTATCGCAAGGTTTGTCCCTCCAAACTCTTGATCTCAGTAGTCAAGTCAAAGACGACTTGTCTCAAATCTGTATTAAACAGCGAAATGAGTTAGAATATTGGAGCCAAGTAAAATGGCGACAGGCCGAATCAATAAAAGCAGTATACATACCTTCACACCTAGCGGTTTGAACATTTCCATCCCCACTCTGAGTAGTCGTGGCACTATCATTGGTATTGCTACTTCCACATCTCTTGGATGACTTGGATCCACCTTTACCACTGCTAGATCCCGATTTTTTGCTGGAAAGCTTACGCCCACCTCTGGCGAGTTGATCCTTTTGAATGATATTCAGCTTCTCCTTCAGTTTCGATTCTTGAATAGGTTCATCTTTCGACACTGCATTTCGACCTGATAGATTGCGCTGTCGCCCACGAACATTGGATGGTGGTGGATGGAACTCAAATGCATTCTCGGTTGGAGCCGGTTCTACGTTGTAGTGCTCTTGCTGTTCTTGGTTCAAATTCACTTGATTTTGTAGATTGGTAACTTGTGTGTTCAACGACTGATTCTGGACTGCTAGAAGTGCTACGGCGCATAGTGCGAGAAACAGCGATAGCTTCGTTGCAAAGCCTCTATGATGCTCCTGTTCTGTCATGTTGTTTTTCTGGTTGGCAACTGGAGGCAATTTTTTTTGTGCACCTTTATGATGAAGTTGCCTTTTTCCGAACAAAAGTCATCACGAATCCCATGCGGAACCAAATTTAAACATCCCTAAGAAAGCTTGAGACGTGATTCTGTAAACATGGCGTCCGCCGAAAAGAGAACATCGTAACACACGTAGAAATGTAGTAGTCGTGGAGCAAAATACGATCCAACAGAAGGCCCAACGTTGTCTAATGTGACACATGCCCAAATTCATCTGTAAGTAAATAAGACTGGAAAACTCTCACGCGACCTAAGATCACTCGTACATTCATACCACTGAAATCTATTTATCTCCCAATTCCCGTCAATAAGCACATGATTCTCACATTTAACGATCCAAGTCATGGAAGGCAATCTTCCGGATTGGAATCGTAGTTCAGGAATTGCATCCAGTGTCACCAACCTCATATTCAAAAGCATCAACAACTCACCATGCCATTTCAGACTGAATCCGGTACTGTGGCTACTATGGATTCCACATCCACACCTCCTAGACCCACTGTCAATCCACATGGATACTCAGACAATCCAGACGAAGAGCCATCTCCTCGTCAAACAAGCACTGATGATGAAGAAGAACCTTCCTATCATTCCCAGCGGCAACTGCTTCCAGGAAATAGCAATAGCAATTCCTACTCCAATTCTTCTAAGGGTGGACGTTCCTCTGTTGTCCTGATGAAGAAATCTACCTTGTTCTTTTTCGCATTACTGTTGCTAGCCTTTGTGGTTGCTTTTGGGTACTTCTTTACCGAATGGATGTTCCATCGTGATATGCTTTCGGGTGGCAACCGTGACAAGGCCAATTGTTTCTTGGAAGATGAAGTAGAATGCCCCTTTACTCAAGAGGATGTAGACGATCTCTCTGCTGAAATCGACCGCTTGGAGGATTTGAACAAGCAGCTTGCCGACCAGATGGACGATTATGAAGATCTTACGAACCGTTTGAACCAATCTGTGGCAGGTAAGATCACTATTTCATCTTGCATTCAGTCCAATTGAATTGTATATCATCATATGTCTTACCCTTTTCTCCCTCGACACCTTAGAATTGAAGAGACAGAATGACATCCTTAGCGACTCCAACGACAAATACGAAGATTTGAACGATCAATTGAATGACACTGTTGCAGAATTAAAGCAACAGAATCAATTCCTGAAGGAGCAAGTAGATACCTTTTCCGACCTGAATCAAGATCTGAACTCGACTGTGATTGATCTAAAGGAAGAAGTCGACCGACTTGAGGGCCAAGTGACCAACTTTACTAAGGAGAATGATCGACTCGAAGACTTGGTCGGTTCCTTGTCCAATGAAACAGATACCCTGACAGAACTATCGAACGTCCTACAAGAAAATGTAGATCGTCTCAAGGGAGAAGTAGGCAACCTTAAGACGGAGAATGGCCGGTTGGAATCCTCAATCGACAATCTCAAGACAGTAATCTCGTTCTGGGATGATGTGGTTGGCAATTATGACAATACTTATGAGGAGATGGCTGCATTCTTGGCCCAACAAATCACTACGAATAGAAATTTGGTGCTTGAAGCATTGGAAAACACATACCATCAACGAGTTGCCGATTGGGACTGTGGATTGCGAGCTCAGTATGCCCTAGAACCATTTGCTCAAGACGATTCCATCACAATCCCCAACGACAAATATAACGAAGTCATGGACTTTGTCAATGGACGTGTACTATCCGACCTCTGCTTGAGTCGGTCCAACTTTGAGTCATACGTGACAAGTCGCTATCCTTCAGGTGGTATCTCTATCGATCGCTTGGTCACCGCCGTACGACGATACACATGGGATGCCATTGACCACTACTTCCCCGAGAAGGGAGAACAAGGACTGACTTCCGAGAACTGGTCAATGGCCAATTTTACTTGCAACAACTTGATGCCATCGCAAAAATACAGTGTCTAGAAAGCATCAGGCACAAGCAAAACAACCTAATAGCGAGAATACGAGCGAGAATACGATATGATAGAGAGTGACTTCCATGTTATTTGTGTCGGTAATGTAAATGAAATAAAGTATCATTAGAAACTTAGGTACAGGTAGTATTGGAGAGCCAAAGAGTTTAGGCGTTTAATTGATTCTACAACCTCCATCCTCTGGAAATACGTACCAGTATACGTAGTTATGGTTATATCCATTCATTCGGAAGCTATACTGCCGTACAGCAGTATACCCGGTACCGGTACCGGTAGAATAGATGTTAGTTTGCTGACTCGAAGAATACTTCGACTATAATATTCGACCTCTACGAGTAAAATACTGCTGCGCGCCAGCCACGCCGATCATCAGATTTGAATTTCTATTGATGATCGCGTCAACACAAACCGCATCTCGTCGGCACGACAGCAACTTGAAAGTCAACCGAGAGGTGCATGCAAGCAGTCGCAGCACGGCGTCAACAAATCATCATGGAGTCCTCCAATAAAGTCTCCTTTTCCATTCCATCACTGAAAATACCTTCTTTAGCGTCGTCCTCTGATGCTGTCAAAGAAAAGGAAAACAACGCTCCAAAACGAAGATCTTTCCAGCCGTCTCCAGTTGTTAAGCATTCACCGCGTGCCGACGTGAATTATTCGTCGGAGAGAAAGCCATCCTCTAGCCTACGAACGCCGTTAGTTTCCAAACAACCTTTGCAACAAAAGACTCCCTCCTCTGCTTTACGAAAATCAGCTTCGAAACCACACAGGGTCCTTCGATATGGTGAATCTATGGAATCTGTATTTTGCCTTTCTCAAGGCTCAACCGAGCGGCATCGTAGCTTATGCGAAGGCATCGCCGACGGATCATTAGCTGATGATCCATCTGCTTGGCGAAAAGTACTAGAACTGGCTGCGCGCTCCGCCTCTTCTTCGTCTTCATCGGAATCAGATCTCTTTCGATTGCACAGGCGGGCCATTATTCGATTTCCACTCGAGAAGAAACAAGACAGCAGCGATGTCGAAGATGTTCTTTCCATTTGGATATCTTATGCTGAAGCTCATGCCATAAATGGAGCAATCGACGAGGCTCGTAGGACCTTTCGGCACATCGAGAATCAATCTACCACTCTCAATGCGGAATACTATCTTAAGCAAGCTCACATGGAGTCCAAGCATGATAAGGAACGAGTGGAAGGAATTCTCATCCGTGGAATCAATAAAAAAGCTTCGCCAACGGTCGAACTTGTTAATGCGCTACAAAAATGGAGAGGCAAGAATGGAGGGTCAAGACGAAGTGGCGAATCATCGACCATCACTGAAAAGAAGACGACGAATTACTCTACTTCTCCCAAACGAGAAGCTCCGCCAATCATTGAAAAAAGAAATCACTCTGGATCTCCTAAGCGCGAAGCACCCACTTCAACAATACTCACAAGCTCCAAACGAATCAAGACCGAAACTGGAGGACGTCGTAAGCTGCTCACGCGCAAGACTTCCCCACAACCCTCCATTGAAAGTACTGTCGATCATGAATCCAAGAGCAAACGAACTTCCCTTTCTGCAACTCCAACTATTGCCAAAGCAGACCGTAAACCAATTCGTTTGCTAGCATCCAAGCGCCTTAGTAGTATGGGATCATTGGGTCAACCAGCTCGTGTCAATCCCGATCAAGCAGCCGCTGCACACGAGTCGGAAAGTGACGGTGAAACGGATATTCCCGCAGCTCACGGCAAACAGGCAGAGCTCTCCAATGCGACTCTGAACGATACCGCCACTCTCAAGCCCAAGCTGAAGAAGGTTGACTTGGGATACATGTGGGATTGGGACCCTAGCAGCAGAACAAAGGAAACCAAAGCGCAACCTACTGGGACACCATCACCAGATGATCCGAACACCGAGAATCCGAGTACATCTCAAGCAACAGGATCTACTTCAAGCACTGTCGTATCGACCACTAGTTCTGACAGCAATCATAGTCAGACCGCTGACAAGGAGAAAGATGTCAAGACACCGGCAAGTCAAAAGTCGCCCACGGAACAAACCGAGTCCGAAATCAAGCCCGAGCCTCTCGCTAACATCAACCGAGAGTTTCTTCCCTTGGTCCACGAAGCCAATGTTCTCCGAGTCAACTCTAAATCCTACGTCAAACTTGGAGTGATTGGAAAGGGAGGCTCGTGTAAAGTCTATCGTGCGTTGACGAAAAAGTGCGAAGTAGTTGCAATTAAGAAAGTCAAGCTGGAAGGAATGGACGCAAAGGCTATTGAGGGATATGCCAACGAGATTGCTCTTCTCAAACGTTTGCGACAGAACCCTGCAATCATTCATATGCATGATAGCGAAGTTGACTTGAAGCGAAAATCAATTTTTGTTGTCATGGAGCCAGGGGAAACTGATCTCAATCAAGTTTTAAAGAAGCGGGCCGATGCCGGAACCTGCCGATCCTTGAACATGAACTTCATTCGTCTAACGTGGCAGCAGATGCTCAGTGCGGTTCATTCCATTCACCAAGAACGAATCATTCACAGCGACTTGAAGCCGGCTAACTTCCTCTTTGTTCGAGGGGCTCTGAAACTAATTGACTTTGGAATCGCAAAGGCCATTCAAAGCGACGATACCACGAATGTTTATAGGGAAAGTCAAATTGGAACACTGAACTACATGTCACCGGAAGCAATCATGGATGATGGATCGGGTGCCGACGGTCCCCGAATGAAGATTGGAAGGGTAAGTACTACTACGAACAGTGGAACTCGCAATATGAATCGTAATATGGTTTCTCACTGATTTAATGAACTTAAATCATAGGCTTCAGATGTGTGGTCCCTCGGCTGCATTCTTTATGAAATGGTTTACGGAAAGACTCCGTTTGCCAAATACCACTTTATCCAGAAATTACAAGCCATTGTCAATCCGAATACCAAAATCGATTTTCCCGACGACGTCGATGCCACTGCTGTTGACGCCATCCAACAATGCTTGCGACGAAACCCCGAGGATCGTCCACCAATTATGGGAAGCAGTGGTCTCTTGAATGAACATATCTTTCTGCATGGCGGGAAGAAGAGATCAGCATGAGCCTTGAACCGTCCACCTGTGCTGCCATACTGTCCAAGATTTGAGTGGGAGACTGTGTCAACGCTTCCAATTTTTGTACATTGAATACATCTCTTGTACTGCCAATTCTACAGTTGTACCCTAGAGTTCGTCGTCGTCGTCGTCATCGTCATCCTTGTCTTCTTCCGTAGGTATGATAGTGGCAGTTGTGATAGCATTTTGTTCGATACTGCTTTTTGTCATGGTTGCATCCGGTGGTGGCCGCTCAGTTGTATCGTCAGTGGATTTTTTGCCTTGCTCCGTAGAAATACTAATAGTAGTAGGAGCTTCTTCCTTCACCGCCAATGCTTTGAGTTGAATTTCATAGTTTGGGCTTGGTTCACCTGAGCGAAGCCAATTGAAGTCTCTGACATCCAACATATTATTCAAATTAGTGACAAAGACAATCCGACTGCAGTCTTCCAAAATGGCACCCGCTCCAATATTGACTGTGCATTGTAAAGCAACAGAGTAATGAAGACGCAATTGTTGTCCAGATGCTTGTAGCTGACAGGAATGACACCCCGTGACATGGATTGCAGAACCGACTTGTTCCTGAACGACAATCTCGGTTTCTTCCGAGTCCACAATGTGCAGTGTCATGAGCTTTATCAATCTAGGTCGGCCAATCAATATTGTCACGAGTCAGTTCGAGGCAGGAGAAGAAAAGAAGAGAAGACAGGGGGCAGGGAAGTCAGAATCATACATTGGACAAGAGACAGGAACTATATAGTGTCTCGTAATGGAACACCGCAAACATTAAAAGCGGGCAATAGCTGTAGCCATGCCGATCGCCGTCACTTACATTGTTAGCGAACAATTCTTGAGATTTTTCACTAGCAAAGCGGCATCCGAAATCTGAAGAGAGAGAATTTTGTCTCCGACACGAACCGACCCATCAATATCAATCACAACTGAGACATCAGATAAATCTTGAAGCGAAGCCCCTTCATTGGCCGTTTGCCCCGATCCAGGTTTGCTTCTGTTGGTTCCAGCGTCAGAGCCTGAAACTGACTGGAAAACAGTTTGGTGAGCAGCATTTCGTCTCGCCACTTCTTCTCGGTATCGACGAAAAACAAACTTTCCTGTTGGAGCAATTTCTTGTTTGGAATTTTCCCACTGGGCCAAGTGCTTTGTAAAGACATTATGAAGGAGTCTCAAATCGGCAACTGGTAAGACTGGGACCTCCCAATCTTGAAAGACGACAATTGAACCCAAACAGTGCTTTTGCAATTGCTGTAATTCTAGCTTTAAATCCAAAAGCTGCTGATTCACGTTCTGAGGTTTTCCTGTCATTGTGTTTTCAGCTTCTTTTGATCCATCGACATTGGTAGTATTGTCATTTTCACTGGACGCTTCCTTATGTAATCCTTGTAGCTTGGCTTCCCACTGAGTAAGATTCGTTCGTAGACGTTCCCAAAAGCTATGAATGACATCCGCGTGTTGAGACCGCTGTGACCTTTCAATTGTCTTCAGTCGGGCCTGCTGTGAGGCCAGAAACTCCATTTCGGAATTCACGGTGGAATCGTTAGGATTCGATTTCTTCCCATCGGGTAATTCAACGACAGTGCAGTTCATGAGTTCTGGATTGGTCGATTTTGATGTTGATATTGTTGATATTGTTGATGTTGATATTGGTGATGGTTGATGATGATGCAATATAACATGTACTCATAATTCATCGATATATACTACTGTACCTCTCCATAATTTTTTTGTCACCGTTTGTGAATAATACCAACTTTGCAAGTACCTTGAGCGAGCGCGCCGGATTTTCCACATTCAATATCCGTTGGATATCTTTCGTCAACAATCGGAACCTGCAAGTACAGTATTTAGATGAGATCGGAAGACGAAAAGAAATAGCGGCAGAGCAGAGCGCGATCATCGCATTCATTGTCATTATTCCTATTGCCTGCAACCTTCATTATGACCAAGACGATTGTTGAAGCCCTAACCGTAAAGAATCCAGGAGAAGTGGCTGGTGATGATGTGGATCCTCCAGAGGTACTTGATACCATTCCAGTCTACAAGGAATTCTTCGCCGAACATGAAAAGTTTCAACGGATTCATGTCCACTTGGTCGGCCTCCGAGTTAGAGATCCATCAGAGGATTCAGATGCTGGCGTATTCAAAGCAAGTTGGTTCAAAACGCCAAGGCTTACAGTTGAGACCTATGGCGAGGATACAGGCAGCACCGATTATTTTCCCGTTGGAAAACACAGCACTCTGGTAAGTGTTTGCAATTTTATCGCATTTATCTTCAATCTAGCTGGTGATGAATCATCACCCACAGCTTTCACTCATCAAAGCCTCCTTGTAGAAATCTCAAACAAAGAAAGGACCCACCCCGGTTTGGGACGTCAAACTTGTCGTGATTGGAAAGAAAGAGACGACAGAAGGTATCAAGATTTCCGTGTCTGGTAAGAAAGACCAGTATTCTTTTGACTCGCCGGCTAGTGAATTCCCTGCTATTGGAGAAGACTGGAAAGAGCTTGTACATACACCTGCTGAAGACGATGCAACCAATGTGGATTTTGTATACAAAGTTTGCATCTCGGATTGTGCGGAACGAACGGTAAGCCAAGAGGATGTGGCCAACTTTCTCCAGAGCACCGACACTGTGGAATATTCCGAGGCAGTCATCGACGCAGACAAAGATGCCGACAAGGCCGTTCTACAAATCTGGAAACACAAAGAACCAGCCAAAAAAGCTGTCCTTTGGCATTTGGGAAGAAACGATTGTTTTATGCATCCACACGTGGCCAATCCCTTGTTCATTGATAACGGATATGACATTTACGTATTGAACTACAGTGCCAATGGCCTGTGTAACAGGTTTGGTTTTGTTGTAAGTCTATGGCTCTCGATTGCCTTGAATCTGTATATTGTTACTGTAGGTCACAAGCACCACTCACACTCATTTGAACCTCATTGTTGGCTGCTGTGAACGAAGGATGACCCAAATCTCCGATCCCACAATAATATCAAAGATTTCAACTTATATCTAAGTCAAATTGAAAAGTCCATTGAGATGATGAAGGACGGAACATCGTACGACAAAGTGATTGGGTATGCACACTCCACTGGAGGACCTGTTCTGATCAACTATCTGCTGGAACGAGGAGATGATGCCTTTGATGGATTCATATTCAATGCACCATTTTTGGAATGGGGTAGCATGAACTTTGGAGGAAGTCAATTGATTGAAGACATGACTCTGTTTTTATTGAATAATCACCCCGATCCCGACAAAAAATGGGGAACCGCGTCGACACCTGAAGAGCTCAAAGAAACACCGGTCGTGTACAAGGATACTGAGGTCGTCGTGAGTGCCTGGAGTGCCAAACTTTGGTCAAGCTTCTTCTTTGACTGGCGAAGTCGACCACTTCACAATGTTGCAACAACTACGGGTTTCGCTGGAGGCGTAAGCAAAGTCCACAAGAAATTGGTCAAGAGGGCCAAGAAACATCACTATGCCACCCTCAAGCCACTGATTGTCTTGTCATCTAGAGGCGATGATGTTCTACAGAGCAATGAGACTCTGACCTTTGTTGATGGTGTTGGACCAGCTCGAGTGGAAATTGAGCTAGGATACAATTCGCATGACGTCTTTCTGAGTAGTGAAGTCGATGGTGTGGGAATGGCTGTCAATTTCATCAAATCTTGGATGGACGCCAAAGGATTCGCCTAAGAAATCATCCAGCGAGAAATCAATTTGTCTGTGTAGGTGTGTTTACAGCGTGGTATCGAAAATGGAGCTGCCAATAGCTCTACGGTACATGTTAGATGAGAGAACGAAAACTAGTTTACATGTCAACTGTATCTCCTCTAAAGTCCATAGTAGAATTGAAATGTCCATGTATTGTTGTCAACGGAAAAGAGAAACGAGCACTTCCACTACTATTGGAATCAACTACAACGGCATTCAACCGACTGAAACGATTTTCCCGCCGTTGTCCAAAGGTTCCAATGTAATGCGATCTATATGAAGCGGTCTTCCCAAATGAGTTGACGGCATTCTTCTCCTACATGTAGTATAGTAGAAATTTTCAATCAAAATGACAAAATTATATTGAACTAAAAATGAAAAAGTCCTCTTGTGCAGACATATATGCGTTACCGATTTCGGTCGCTTTAGGCTTGCGCCTCGTCACCGTTTTCAGTATCGCTTGGCAACTTTTCATCCGGCTCATCACTTGCTACCTTTTCTACTCCGGGGGGAAGATCTTTCATATCTTTCTTGCGGTGCACAGTGGTATCCATTGAGGCTTCAGAAAACCAATCGTCAAAGGCATGGCGAGTTTCGTCATCAATGGGATCTTCAATGGTGCTGTCAAGCTTGGAAGCAAAGCCAACCAAGGCAAACGTGGCAGTGAGAATGATGTACGAGACAAAGTACATCCATTGATATCCGAATTCCCAGCATCCATTACTGGTACATTGTTCCCAGAAAGCATCATCAAAGTTGTCGAATCCAGCTTCTGGTACATGGATAATTCCAAAGAGAGCAAACATGGCAGTAATCAGGGCCCAAATAGTTGCAACCTTCCACTGGCGGTCAATGACGTTGACAAGCATTGCAACCCAAAGCATGGATACAAGGAGTGCACCACGCTTCCATCCCAAAACACCAATCCATCCTGCACCGCCTGGAGTGTTGGTATTGAAGGTTCCATCGTCGGTCAAGGGAGCTCTACCCGAGACGTTGGTGACCCAATCGTAGACCGAGGGGAACAATCCAATGACATAAGCAGGATAGTGACGAGATGGGATGAAATCCAAGGCTTCTTGATTGACCATCAATCCAACAAAGAGAACGATCGGTCCAATGGTAGCTTGGTTGACGAGAGACTGGATCAAGGCGAGGATGCCAAAGAACGACATGATAAAATAAATAATGCCATTGACCAAGGAGTATCCAACTTTGGCACCCGATGCCTTGTGTGCTGGATGTCCAATGTAAACGACAGTACCAAAAGGAGATCCAAAGAACGAGGCAATGCAAGTACCGATACCATCAATAATCATGGTCTCGCGAACGGGGAAGGGATCACTGACAAAGTGTAAAATTTTAGGAAGTCAAGTGAGTGAGTGATTTATATTGCTTCTGATAGCAAGCATGTCTTGAAGCTTTCACTTCAAACTTACCCTGCTTCCTTGGCAGACACGAGACACATGAGTGTGGTGGCGGCGGCAGAAATTCCAATCGGAATCACAATACCCAAATAATCCTTGACCATGCCAAAGTCGCCAAACATGTCACCGGCGCTCCAGACGGGTCCCCACCACTTGACGAGCTCGGCAGCTTGCTTGGTATCTTCGGGATCATTAAGGCCAGTCGCCCAGCCCAAAATGACACCGACCAAGATGACTTGCAAGGCTTCGGGGATACGGTACTTTCCGACTCCAATGCGGACTCCCGCATACCATCCCAAGAATACCCACATGATGGCGGAGTATCCGACAATGGGTGCTGCAATACTGTAGGAGACCTGTTCAATTCCCAAAAAGGCAAATCCGATACCGGCGATAGGCACGAGGAGTGCTGCCGGTGGAACGACCTTGAGAATCAAAGGACCGAAGCAGCCAAACAAGATGGAAATGAGACCCGTGATGAAATTGGCCACGAGGGCAACCTTGTAACCCTTGATAAAGCCGGCATCACCGCCGCCTTCCGCAAAAAAGACGGCATAAATGATATTGAAAACAAAGGCAAAGGCAGCCGGAGTATTCAATCCATAGGGCTGGGCAGTGTAAGGACGGCCATACTTGTTGGTGAGACGAACCGCTTGCCACGAGTAGTAGATGTTTCCAATCAACAGGGTGATTCCGACACCGGGAACTATGCGGCCCCAAACGTATTCGTCCATGACACCTTTGGAGACGGCGTTTGGACCAAAGTTGGTCAAATCTTGAATGGCAAAAAGCGCACCGAGTAGGGTGGACAAGTTGTCAAAGAACAACTGAGACAGAGAGCCCATGTCACCTCCCGTCATGGTGAGGCCACTGCAGAATGTCTAGTGGATTAGAGCGAAACAAGAGGTGTTAGAACCGGTAGCAGCCATGTTGACGACCATTCTTGGACAAACAACAATGATCACATCACGACGTATGCATGCTTTGCTTACCTTGAGGCAGTTGCCGCTACTGCGTGGAGCCTGTTCTTCGCTTTCTGACATTGTAATGTTGGTAGGTATGCGAAATGCAGACAATGTTCAACTCTCATAGATTGTGATTGTGGGAAGCGAGATCTTTTGCAATCCAAACTGCCGTGCATTGGAGGGAATTACGAGAGCTGGTATCTTTACATGAGAAGAGTAGGGTGTGAACTGGGGAGATTTCTGACATCAGCCTTCTACGCCCCCAATCTACAGCAGATTTACGTATACCATCTGGAGTCCTAAACGAAAGGCTAGAAATGCCCGACAAAACAGCGGAAAAGAACCCCAAACTTCTCAGGAAATGACTGAACATTTCCTGACTCATACAGAAACTGGAATCGAAGAACACGCTGACAAAAATCCATGTCATTCAGTAAACGGTAACGTCATGTTGATTTATTGAGCGGCAGGAGTGACACATAATACATATGAAATGCGCTCAAAAATCATTTTTGAGCCGCATATTCAATATACGTTCTGAACCGAAAAATAAGATCCATCGTCATCATTTCTCATGGTAATAACGTACGGTATATCAATCGGCTCTCTTTTCAAGTCAATCGCACAAGGGGGGGATATTCTTAGTAAGGCAAGGCATTGGTCATAGTCAAAGAATCAGCCATGCATCAAACAATTGAAGAATTGAAAGGCGTCGGCAATGGTTTGGCGTCTTTGAAGATACCCTCGTCATCAAATAATAACTCTCCTCGGACGCCGCACCACATCGACGAGATGATTTCATAATGGTTTGCAGGTCCAAGGCTTATTTCTCAGCCTGTGTTTCGTCAAAGAGTCTGATATTGTGGTTTTCAAAATCAAGATGTGCAAACCGCGCATGGAATTCACCAAACATGAAATCCAGCTCGCAAGAGGTTCCGGTCAACAATATATAGATCGGGAAGAACCACATATTCTGGGCCTTCTACATCCAGTTTCATGCCGACCACATCTTTCGGATATTGCCTTCCAGAGGGCGGGGTATCGGAGATCGGACGTTCTAATATGTGATGGCGCATCCAATACGAAAGTAAAACACTGATATTATGCTTCTTCAGAGAGAATCCAAGCTCGTTGTTGTCAGAGTCTCTTTGATGATATAATGTTGTTGTTCCTTCTCTATCCTACGCAGCTGCCTTCACAGCATGAAATCTCCAACCCATCGCTGCATAGGCAGCGCTCACCGCTTCCAACCGAGGCAAAATAGGTACAGGAATCTTCATCGGATCGATGTATGACATGGTTTACGACATGGTTTAGGATGACATTGATTCGGTTCATATACAAGAAGAGCCCGTGAACACCAATGTTGGAACAAATCAATGTATGATATTCTCAATTATTTCCACCGATTTGCAATGCGATAGGAGTTTATTTGCGGGCTGCGCTACCCGCCTTTCGGCGCTGGCGGCCATTCATCAATAAGCCAAGACAAAACGATAGAGCAGAGTATGAGTAGCCTAAGTAGAAGAAGAGGCGTAACGTGATCGACTGGACTTCCGAGTCCTGAGCAGATGTCAATGAGCAATCGAGAGCTCAACGGTCGCAATCGTCCATCATCTACTTCTACCCCCCGTATATACTACTACTGTACTGTTGGCGGATGGTGATAAGCAGAGAATTCGTTGTGTATTCCATTTTTTAAAGCATAATTGACATTGCAGGCTAGGGTTCAAAGCTAGTTATAACTAGTCGGTCTAATGCTTTACTTGTAGTCAGTGAATACGCTTTTGCCACATCCCAAAATTTCCTCATTGTTATTCTTGTCAGCAGCGGTATTCGGCCAGTAAAATGAAAAGTTGTTATCAGCACACGAATAGGAATGCCCATTGTTCAACTCAATATACATCCTTGCTCACACCTGTGCAATCGCATGAACCTCTGAATGGACATTGCACTATCTCGGCTTCCACACATAACTACTACCGATCATTGTGGTACATTTGCCTTCAATTTCATGAGACAATTTGCGCCAAAGACAAAGCCGGTCAAGGTGGGCTTCGCAGGCACTCAACAGCCGTATCAGTCACTGTATTGTTGAAGGTGTAAAGGATACCAGAAGACAATTTGTTTGAGACCAAGAAGAGAGCATGCACCTATATTGCCGAGGTTTTGTAGTCTCTGAGCATTGAAGACACTGTTCAAATCAAGTTCATTGTCCCATGGCTGTATATCAACTACCATATACGAACCATTGAGAATAAGATTGTTGTAGGCGCCGTTTTCGAATTGCTGATGATGATCACCGACGTCATTGGATTTTTATTAAGGAACTGGATTGCACGGGTGTAACCACTTCGAAGAACACGGTCAACCCAATTATTCTGCCCATGTCCATCTACAACATATTCTTTGCAAAAGACCAAGTCTCTTGGTATGAATACTCCAATGCTCCCATAGAACTCGTCCACCTGCCAAACGTCTTCAGTTGGAAACCCAGACTGGTTTGATGCAGCGCATTGCCTCTGGGATTGCCAATCGATATTCCCCAGACCGATCTTCAGAAAATCCAACTCGGATGGTATGCTGCCGCATTCAAACAGTAAGAGTGAATCTGTCAGCATACTGTTCGAACCTGTGTGGAAGAGGTCACAAAAGTAGTTTCGGCGGACATATTCGCGGGACCAGCCATTACCGTTGTCGTCCAAAATCCCATATCTGGCCAGCTTCTTGCGAGTCCCACTATATATTGACTTGACCTCTCCAATCTTGAATTAACGCATCCCGCATAGTTCCGGCAAAAAACGGTTGTTTCCCGTGTCTTTCATCATCTCCCCTTGATAAAGAAGACCTCATCGAGAGACATTTCGTTCCCTGAGGCCCCAGATTTTCTCCACTGTCCCATCAACAGCGGTACCAGAATGCGACAGTCTGTCCAAAGAAACAGTTCCTGAATACTCAACGTCAATAAGAAGGGAAGCACAGCCAATTTGATTTGGATCTCATTGCGGATCTGTCAGATTTTGCCGCCAAGTGTAGTTCGTCGTATGTGGAAATGGTGCGAGAAAAAAGCGCGTGCTGGCTCGTCTTGGCGATGATCTGTGTGTAAATATCATTTTTATCGAAGATGCCTTGTGTACCGTTGGAAGATTGATTATACTGGAAGTCGAGGAGGATATGCCCTTCTAGCTACCCTGGGTGGGAATTTTACCGTTATGACCCCGATCCACGAAATACCCACCCAAAATTCGGGTGGAATTTGGGACAAAGCAAAAATTTCAAAAAGCACCTACGGACCTAAAACCTTTTCAAAGCGCTAGAGAATACTTTGCCCATCCCTTGTAAAAAATTTCAAGTTCTTAGGAGGTGTTAGAGGGGCTCCAGTGCA